GGCATTGTGGAGAGGTGAGTACTTAGGGATCTGTGTCTGTTATAATAAGACAGGTGACCAGGCCTGTGGGTAAGGAGAAGAGTGTTTGAGCATAGAGCAGCAAATGCAGAGGCCCTGAGTTGATGAGCACATGATGTCTGGGGCCAGAAGGCATCCTTGGTGTTGAGGGTGACCCATATGGAGGAGAGCTATGGATTTGAGTATATTTACGGGTCCGAAGTGATCCGTCAGAAAATTGTCACTGGCCGGTGGTGTTTAAGGTATCACATAAGGATTTGATAGTTTGACGTTTTATTTCAGATTAATGGAGATTCACAGTGATATTCGGGAAGGTGGTTCTAGAAAACAAAATTACCATAGAACCTTTATAACTGACCACCTCCCTACAGTGGCCACCTCCTCAAGTTGACCAAGTTTTCATAGACTGGACATGCATCACATGTACTAAGGCCTAATTCTTCAGGTTAACCACTTCTTTATGTTGACCAATTTGTTACAGCCCCTTAGGTCAACCTACAGGGGTTCTACTCTATTTCCTTTCTTTTTTGCTCGTAGAAAATGGAAAGGACCTAACTGGGCAGTAGCTTATAATATCTGCAGGTGGAAATTACTAAGAGGTTAATTATTGCCCTTGAAAACTTGCCTAACTGAGGTTTGTGCAACATATTGGGAGTTCACCAGCAAAGTTTTTGTGTTGACAGAAGTGATGTTTCATGCTGAGACTAGTTTCAGTTGAAGGTTTGGGAGCGTGGTTGGGCATGGAAAGAACGCAGCTCTCCCTTTTCTGCAGTGGCTTTTATTTGCTAGGTAGCTCATAACTTAACGTTCTCTCCCCTAACCCTATTAACAGAAAATTGTTTGCTTTTAGTTCCTCCTGCATTCTACCATCCAACTCCTTTTTAGATAGAGTGTTGATCATGTCATTTTCACCCTCCTTTGCTTATCGTAGCAAACTTAGAATTCAGATTTAAATGTAAAGCCTCTAATGTCTTGTCTTTCTTTCCTTTTTGTAATATGCCAGCCACAGAATCCACTTCTGTCATTTTGATATCTTCAAGACCCTACGTCTCTCAGTAAGCCTTCTCCTTCTAGGCCAGGCTGGTGTTTGTTGCCATGGAGCAGTGCAGAAAAGCCTAATAACTTTAGACAGTAAATCTAGTGCTTCCCAGGGGTGTCCAGCCTGCGGTCCATGGTGCACGTGGGTATTGTTTGAGGACTCTATGGCTTATCCGTGGTGTTGGAGCTCACAAAAAGTATGCATGGACTTTTTTGCTTATCGGCTGTCATTTAGTGTTTGTATATTTAATGTGTGGCCAAGACAACAACTCTTTCACTGTGTGACAGAAAAGAAAAAAGGTTGGGCACCAAGAGCTGAACACCAAGAGCTTTTTCCACCCTAATGTCTAGTGACCTTTTTGTATTTATTCCTGTCTTCAGTGAGTGTCCCTTCACTATTGTTTGCATTTATGTCTTCTAAGATCCTGGGGCCAAGGGCCTAGTCTGTAGATCCTGTTGATCAAATCCAGGGCTAGATGCTCACTTGTACTGTGTGTAGTTGGAGAGCATTAGAATGGCAGTGCTCTCACTTACCACCTTTTTAAACTTGAGAAGCCTATTTACTTTTCTGAGTCTTGAGTTTCTTATTTTCAGGCTTGTCCATTGGGTTTTCTCCTGTGCTGGGAAGGTGGTGAACTGCAGGAAGTGCAGTGTCTTAGCAGTTTTGGAACAAGCAGTTGTAATAATGGCCATCCTGGTTACCATTTTCCTCATACTGAATTCTAGAACTGGTTGATAGAATTATATTATAAGCAGGAAAAAAACCTCTGGCCAAAATGAAACTGGGATAGAGTGCCATTCTAAAAATAATGTGCCTGGACCTTAGGGACAGGTGATTCATCCTGTAGAAAGTTCTTTATAAGTGAGTGTGCTGTAGGATCTCTTGATTCTGTGTTTTTAACAAACACTGTCTAAGAGATACATGGTTCTAAGGTGTTCAGGGAAGGCATTTAGTCTTCAAAAGTCACTCTCCATTTCATCATTCAAAATGGTGCAAGTTTGCCACCACAAAATGTTCTTACTAGTAAGCAGCTATTTGTCTGAGCCCTCTGCTCCTCCTCCATTTTCTGCACTTTTCCATGCCTGCCTGCCCTCGCCCTGGGGAAAAGCAAGGCCTTCAGAGATGGTTTTGATATGGTTCACACCTCACATCTTCCTTAAGAATTTTGGAGTCAGGAAACCGAGCTCCTGTATTCTTCACGCAGGCAAGTTGTTTTACCTGAGTCTGTTTCCTTAGCTATACATGAGATAATTTTTGTGACCACCCCAAGCACAATGGCTGCTTCATATTCATTGCATGCATTGTTTTATTTGCCCAGTCAGTCTTAATACACTATTTCAGTGCCTGAGTATTATAATGCATAAGAAATATAGGGCTGGACATAGTGGCTCACTCCCGTTTTTCCAGCACTTTGGGAGCTCACTGATGCAGGAGGATCCCTTCAGGGGCTCAAGGCTAACCTGGGCAACACAGGGAGACTCCATCTCTTAGACCCCTGACCCAAAAAAGAAATAGCCGGGCTTTGTGGTGTATTCCTGCAGTCTCAGCTACTTAGGAGGCTAAGGCAGGAGGACTGCTTGAGCACAGGAGTTTGAGGCTATAATGAGCTATGATGGTGCTAGTGCAGTACAGTCTGGGGGACAGAGCAGGATCTCATTTCTTAAAAAGAAAAAGAAATGCATACAAAATATTTTTAGACACACATGACTTACATTTCTCAGAATTATCACAGATCCTTAATACATCTAAATTGGTTGGTGAGTAGCACTGATGTCATAGACAAGACTCAGCAGTTTTCCAGGTTACACCAGGTCTTTTACTTCTTGGTCATGTTTTCATTTCTCAATCCTGCCTACTCCCAGTAACACAGCTGTCATTACTTTGAGGTGGTGTTTCTGCTAGCAGTGTAAGGGAGCAACATTTTCTATAATAGATGGCATTATTGGCCCTGGTGGAGAGGATTGCCCTCTCACCCTGATCATTCACTCATTTGCTCCCTCTTTCACTCATCCCTTCACCCTTTCCCTCCCTCTCTCACTCACTGCCTTAGTCATTCACTCATTCATTCCTTATCTTATTCACGCACTTTCTCACTCACTCAGTTTGTATTGGTTAATGCTTTGGGTTGCATCCCTCATCTCAAATTAGGGCAGCTTTTTCCAAGAGACATCTCTCAGAATGGCTGTGCCACTGAATGAACTCAGGAGGAGTTGGGCTTCAGGAACAACTGGAACCAAGAACTTGAATGCCTGTACGATTTTATCTTCTAATTCACTCTTAACACTTTCTCTGCAGAACAGCCTCCTCATTCTTTTGGTCTGTGTGACTAAAAGGACTATCCCTAGTCCAATAATTTGGGAAAGAGACACAGTGACGTAGCTTGGATCAGATGCTGGCCTTGGACCAGTCAGCTCTGGCCAGAAGGATGTGATGATGTAAAGACAGGATAGTTCCTTCAGGAATTGTGTCGATGGAGTGAGGAGAGGAACATGGAAAGGGGATGCTGAGTACAAAGCTCCAGAGACTTCTACATACACATACTTGTTCTGCCATCATAGGTAGTGGGCTTTTTGCTTGGAATACTAAATATATATGTATGTATGTATCCCTAAACTCAGGCTGCTTGCAGCCATGTCGTTGAAGATGAAGGTGCCAACAAATAATTGCAGTGAAGTGATGCTGTTTTTTAGTTATGGAGGTACGTGTTAGATAAGAGTAAAGAAGAGATGGTCAGTTTGCTTAGGTCAGACACCACCAGCCTCTGCCAGCGGTGATGGATACACAGCTGGGCATAGTGTAGGCCTTCAACAAATACTTGAGCCAGTTGAATTTTTAGACATTCTGGGGACTAGGGATAACCTTGGAAATTTCTTAGTACAAACATTTTCATTAAGAGGGCTCTTTATCAGAATGCCTTTTTAAAATTATTTGTTGAGTTTCATTTACAAAGCAAGAATGAAGGACACCTTGACCTTAAGTGTCAGAGAGAATTCTAAACATGACAAGTTTAGATGATCTAAATTTTAATTCCCTTTGATAGCTCTCTGAACTGGCTTAAAAGACCCCATGCAGGGCCAATTCATTCATTTATTTTATAGTTCACGTGGCCTGGCACCTAACTGCTTTTGTTGATCACACATTTCTCGGTTGTAAGTTGGAGACTTCATCTTGTTCTTTGTGAAGGGCAGTGGCCTCCCCTCAGAGCTGTCAGCATCCTTTTCTGATCTCTTTTTTGCACAGAGAATTATTATTCTATGTCTTTTTACATTGGGTGGGCTCTTGATGTCTTATTGTACAAATCTGCTGGGCCTCAGGCTGAGATCTGTGTGCTGCAGTCTCCCTCTGGGCCTTGCCTATCACATCCACACCTCCCCAGGGCTTTTCCTGGTCCTTAATCTCTCTATCCTTGCTCACCCTAACTTTGTTGAAGATTATACTTTTTAGTTTGAGATAATTGTAGTTTCACAAGAGTTAATTTAGAGAGAAACCACAGACCCTTTTCCAAGTGTTTCCCAGGGATGACATCTTATAGAGCCGTGTTCTAAGCAGGACATTGACATTGCAGTCAAGACAGTTGCCCTTCACGTTTTGATGTGTAGATTCCTTCTCATTTTTTCTTTACCCATTTCATAGATTCCTCTCTCCTTATTCTTTTTGCTAGTGTCTTCATTGCCCCAGGGATTTAACTGAGTTAAGGGTCCTACAGATCTCACCTTCTCTTTGATCACCTGTCATAGTTTCTAGGGGTAGCAATTTCTGAGCACAGAGTTCTTCCTGAAATGACCTACCCTGAAAATCATTTGGAAGGCTCCAGGGCCTTAAATTCATGTTAGTGTCTGGTCTCCTATGAGCTCTTAAAGGTGAATCATGTACAGGGACTGGTATGGTACTAATCTTTTGAGACTCAGGGGCCATAATCAAAGGTCTTCCCCCCCCCCCAAAGGACAGTTCTGCACAGAGGATGTGGATGAGTGCCTGTTGCAACCCAACGCCTGTCAGAATGGGGGCACCTGTACCAACCGCAATGGAGGCTATGGCTGTGTGTGTGTAAACGGCTGGAGTGGAGAGGACTGTAGCGAGAACATCGACGACTGTGCCTTCGCCTCCTGCACTCCCGGCTCCACCTGCATTGACCGTGTGGCCTCTTTCTCTTGCATGTGCCCAGAGGGGAAAGCAGGTAAGACCAGCAGAAGGACAGAGCTGAAGCACAGGGGAGGGACAGGACTTCTGCCTTCTTTGTCATCCTGATAGCTGTGTTTTATGAATTACCATCTGCAGGAACATACCACTCAGGGCTGTGCTTGTGAAAATGTAGTCTACTGGCCATAGTGCTGTGGAGTTAGTCTTCTTCCTTACAACTGTAGCTCTCCTCTCAACTCTATGTGTTTTAGTTTTTCATTCCAAAAAAGGAAAGTTAGTAACCATGACTTTCGAGCATCCGCTGAAATCCTTAAGATCTTAAACTGAAAACCACCTATGGTATTATGACTAATAAACGGATTCACAGACTTTATTTTAAGAAAAAATAATATATTTACTCAAAAGGAGTTGGCAGAAAAGAAGCATTGACATGCCTTTCACTTCTCAGTGTCTGACGCATACCAGCAGCAGTTGGTTTTGCGTGCTGGCTTGTCTGTCCAGCTTAACCAGATATATGAAAACTCCTTTGGTGGGATCACGTCCCACTTTGGCATATGACAGTTTAAGGAAAGATTTTTACAGTCTGTAAAGTTAATATTGCTTTAGCTTCTCAATTTAACAGTTGCTAGTTCTAAGAGTAGGAGAGCAGTGTAGGGAGGAATGAAATGGAAGAACAGTTTAGTTGAAAGAACTTCTATCCAGCAATTTTGAAATGTCCTTATACTGTGCCCTTCCCAAAACCCCACCTCCAGCTTTGTGGAAGAAGCCTCAGTTACCTGTTTTTAAGTTAATTGCGGACTGGAAAATCCAGTTCCCATGTGAACTACACAAAACAGGAAGCCTAGTAAATATCTTTAGAGACCTAGGGGCACCTGAGCCAGGAATGTTGCTACTGTTAAAAATGCTGCCCTAGAAGAGACTAATGACATTCAGTTGCTTTTTTCTTCTAAGGCAAGTGAAATGTTGGTGGTCCCATAATCATAAGGTGACAGAATTTGGGGAAAGTAAGATGCTAGACAAAATACAGGATGTGTGGACTGTTTGAGACATACTTATACTAAAAAGTTAATCTGAAATTCAAATGTAGCTGGGCTGATTCTATTTTTATTTGCTAAATCTGGTGCACTTTTAGTGTCTAACTTCATTTTCACATCTTCTTCTTCTTATTTTCTGGGCTGTAGATGTCTCTGCCCTGGACGAGTGGTCTAGATGAGGGCTCAGTGTCAGAACCCTGGGGTGGTCTGGAGTAGCTAGTTGCTTTGCTGATGGCTGCAGCATGTCCCCAAGGTAGGATCAGGCAAAGGGGAAGTTGATTCTACATCTCCATGTTGGATTGTGAAGGTTTTCCCTCCTTGGTGAAAGAGAAAGCTCTTCCTCAAGTGAGGGACATTTTCTCTTAGCTCTTCTGTGCCCTACCCTGTGACAGGTCTCCTGTGCCATCTGGATGATGCATGCATCAGCAATCCTTGCCACAAGGGGGCACTGTGTGATACCAACCCCCTGAATGGGCAGTATATTTGCACTTGCCCTCAAGGATACAAAGGGGCTGACTGCACGGAAGATGTAGATGAGTGTGCCATGGGTGAGTACTTCGCTTAGCAAGTGTTGAAACTGAGCATATTTTACTCTTTGAAGTGTGTCACACCAAACATCAGGTTTCTCCTATTCCATGCTTACTGTTTATGACTAACCCTTTCAGTGTCACGGTAGCATGTACTCCACTGCAGGAATAAAGTGTATGAGATGGCTATACTTCACTCTTAGTAGAAGCCCTACCTCCATGACAGTTTGGGAAGAAACTGAAATAGCAAAAATGTACAAGAGTTGAGATTACTTTAGTGTTATTTCTTTTTTTTTAATTAAGGAAGAAAATAGAAAATTGATAGTGAGATTGTTAAAGACCTGGCTCTGATGTTATAAACATCAGAACCCTTTTTTTTTTTTAAAGACAAAGTCAAGCTCTTTTGCTCTGAGTAGACTACAGTGGTGTCATCATAGCTCACAGCAACCTCAAACTCCTGGGCTCAAGTAGTCCCCCTGCCTCAGCCTTCTGAGTAGCTGGGATTGCTGGTGTGTGCCATAGTGCCAGCTAATTTTTGTGATTTTAGTAGAGATGGAGTCTTGCTCTTGCTCAGGCTGGTCTTGAACTCCTGAGTTCAAACAGTCTTTCTCCAGCCCCCCAGAGTGTTAGGACTACAGGCCTGAGCCACTGTGTCTGGCCAGGTCCCCTTTTATAATCCACATTGGTAGAAACTTTTTCAAAGTGCTTTGATCCCAGTAATCAGTGTTTTTGTCTTGCAGCCAATAGCAACCCTTGTGAGCATGCAGGAAAATGTGTGAATACGGATGGCGCCTTCCACTGTGAGTGTCTAAAGGGTTATGCAGGGCCTCGTTGTGAGATGGACATCAACGAGTGCCATTCAGACCCCTGCCAGAACGATGCCACCTGCCTGGATAAGATCGGAGGCTTCACATGTCTGTGCATGCCAGGTAATGGGCCCAGTAGAGAGAGGGATTGCACTGTACTTCTCTCAGCAGAGCAGTCGGTGTACAATAGTAATTCCATAGTTCTGTTAACAGTTCCTCATGCTGACTGGAGGTGCTATAGGAAGTCATCGTTCTTAGGCAAACCCCTTACTTGAAGACTGAGGCAGTGCTAAAATTCTTAAAGCTATGTAGACCAACTTAAAACTTATTATGTCAAAATCCAGGTACGTGTAATAGAAAATTTCAGAAATGATTTACTATACAAATCCTTTATATAACAAGCTTTTCTGATCTTCTGATCTATTACAAATACCCCATAATTCCATTTATAGAAATAAGTTTCACCTGCAGTCATATAGGAACTTACCATTTATCAAAAATGAGGCACATGTTTAGTTCTATTCTAGAGCTTTTCCACAGAGACCATGTCTTGAATCCTCAGAGGATGCAGCCATATCCTGTTTCAGATGGCAGCTAACATTGGCTACTCTGCCTAATTGAGGATGCTGGCTGCTCTAGCCTAGAAGGGCCTCCTGATCTTGACCAGCACCCTGAGAGCAGCCATGGCTCCAACTTAGTGGTCTTTGGGAACATAGAGTGGGGACACTTTGGGCCAGGCATGGTCCTTAAATCGTGGATTGGTCACAGAAATTGTGGAACACTGTTTGTTTACATGACAAGTACTTCCCAGTGTCTTTATGGATGTCTCAGAGTCTTCCTTAGTCCTGCTAATGTTCAGAGGAACTTGTTCCCATCAGGGTAGGAGCCCGTTTCTCTTTGCAGAAGTGTTCATGTTCGTAGAATATGTAGCCACCTTTGCAAATGTGTGCTTTACTTGGCTGGACTGTGCCTTTCTCTCCTTCTGAGTCACTTGTGCGGTCCATTTCATTCAGGTTTCAAAGGTGTGCATTGTGAATTGGAGATAAATGAATGTCAGAGCAACCCTTGTGTGAACAATGGACAGTGTGTGGATAAAGTCAATCGCTTCCAGTGTCTGTGTCCACCTGGTAAGTCCCACCCCCTGCCTCTGTTTTCGCTTAAAGTATAAAGACAACTGACCGCAGAGAAGGGAGGAGGGAGAGAATGTGTGTGGGCTGTACATGAGGAAATCATTAAAATGAGTACTTGGTGATAGGAGTGTGTGTGTACAGAAGTGGGGAATTTGTTTTAGCTAGTATATCTTCTAAATCCTTTGTGGCCAGAAGTCCAAGTCTATTCTTGAATGGCCCATGACCTCTCTGTCTGTGTATATATTTCAAAATACTCATACTTCACAAAAGTCTTCGTTGTAGGCTATTCAGGATTTTATTTTTTCCCATGGGTCATATTCTTGAAGGCACTCTGTGAGATTATTATTTTTAGACATTTCACCCCATGCGTTCAGAAATAGACAACACATGTCAATTTTTTCCAAGATTTTCTGTCTTTCCTCTTTTTTTCCCCAAGCTATGGTTGAATATATGCCAAACCGTCTGCCATAGATTAGGGCCTCTCCCATTGTTCTTCAGAGAAGAAGATTCCTGTTGCCTGTGAAGCTACAGTTACTTGTTTGAGGGTTTTGCCTATAACATTTCTGTCCTACTTGGTTTATTTAGAGGTGGAATCTGTACTATGATGTGGATACATTCCACAAGTGCCCTAAACTTTACCCATTTGATCCAGTGACCTTTTGAGGTCTATGCTTGCTGGCCCATTGGTGTAATCCCTGCCAGTTGCCTAACCCACTCCTCCTTAGCCATCATTCTCATGGTAAAGGAAGACATAGGATAATCCATTGACTTGTGTCATCACTGTGCCTTTTTAAGGTTTTACTGGGCCAGTTTGCCAGATTGATATTGATGACTGTTCCAGTACTCCATGCCTGAATGGGGCAAAGTGTATTGATCACCCTAATGGCTATGAATGCCAATGTGCCACAGGTAAGAAGATTCTTTTCACTTTTATCCCCCTGTAGGTCCATCTGAATAAAATAGGCTGATAGTTCTTGTCCTCTGCAAGCTGCTTTACTAGGCCAGTGGACTATCAGGGTCTACTCTGTATTTAGAGAGAGCTCCTTCCAAAAGATATTTTTTTTTTGAGATAAGAGTCTCAGTTACCTTGGAGTAGAGGGCAATGGTATCATAGCTCACAACAACCTCAAACTCTTGGGCACAAGTGATCTTCTTGTCTTAGCCTCCCTACTAGCTGGGACTACATACAAGTGCCAGCCACCACACCTGGCTAGTTTTTCTATAGAGATGGGGTCTTAGTTTGCTCAGGCTGGTCTTGAACTCCTGAGTTCAGGAGATCTACCCCTCCATGGTGCTAGGATTACAGGTGTGAGCCCAACAGATTTTTTGATGCTGACACTGTTTCCTTCTGCAACACCTGCCTCCTTCCCCACCACAACAGTGGTCTGGCTGGACATTTCCATTTGGTGTCCATGTCTTTTTAGGACAGATTTTGGCAGCAGTGATTTCCAGCTGGCTGGATTTATTCCTTCAGGAAAGGGAAAAATTCCAGTTAAAAGCTATTTTTCATTGGAGTTTCTTAGCAGGAGGCCTGTCTCTGTATTTCTTGAGCCAAATAACTATGAAAAAAAAAAAAAAGACCCAGAAATCTAAAGGCTGAATGTGAACACGAGCAGAGATTTTTTTGCACAAAAGCTACCTAACGGTGTTGAGAATCCTGTGGAGATGACGAGAGCTCCAGTACACGTGTACCAACGGGAAGTGCTGGGGACTTCTTTAACTTCTGCTGCTTGAGTCAAAAGGGTCTGCTCACATGTGTTCCACAGTGGGGTCTGCACTGGTACTTCTCACTTGGGAGTGGCTTCAGTAAGCCAAATATTACCTGTTACATATTTGCTTCTACACAGACTGATATTGTAGAGGGGCTAGAATATATTATAAGAAGTGAACTTTTTCATTATCTGATTTCTTGACAGCGAAGTTATCAGTATTATTCAAGACGTTATTATGTTTTAGAGAATGGATTATTAAAGGGTTGTAGGCATTATGTGTGTGATTTCTTTCCAATCACAGAAAAGCAAATTTTGTCAATAAAAATCAGTACAGAGAGTCAATACTACATATCTCTAGTATTAGACCTACTAAGTTAGGAAGACCTGTGTAACTTTCTTCATTTTCTTATAAATAGTTGTCTCTTCTTGGAGAAGTTCCAAGTTTTGTCTTCACCTGGCCAGGTTGTTTTTATGGAGGATAAGCTTCATTGGAAAATAATTAAAAACCTTGAACTTATCTTTAAAAGGGAAGAGAGGCCTAATGGTTCCTTTTAGGGAGAGATGTGAGGTCAGTCTATTTAAACCTGGAAAACAAGAATTCTAGTTTCTTTTACTTTTAAATGCTCATAATTACTTCATTTTATTCAATACATGTTTATTAAAACTAGTATATATACATAGTACAGTGGGAGGTGTTGAGAGAAATAAAAATATTATCTGCCTCAGCAAGGTAAGAAACAATTTAGCTATATGTTGGGTTTGGGAGGAAAGAGTACAAAGATAAATATAGAAAGGAAAAATGTTTTGTGCTATTACAAGCTGAAGCCAAATAAGAAATGAAGATTCAGTTGAAGCATTCCTGCAGTGAAATTCTTAGTCACAAAGGTCTAAAATTTGATTTGGAAATCTGTGTTGTAAGCATAACTCTCCATGATGCTTCCTAAATCGGTACCCATAAGTCAATTTCTACTGCTTAAGGCCAGCAGCATTAGCTGGCCACTTGGGGTATGCAGAGTGAATGGAGGCGGCTGCGATGTGAACGGAGCAGGCGTCTGCCTTGTTCTTTGAGACTCACTGGAAAATACCTCCTAAAGGTTTCACTGGTGTGCTGTGTGAGGAGAATATCAACAACTGCGACCCCGATCCTTGCCACCACGGCCAGTGCCAGGATGGTATTGATTCCTACACCTGCATCTGCAATCCTGGATACATAGGTGCCATCTGCAGTGACCAGATTGATGAGTGCCATAGCAGCCCTTGCTTGAATGATGGGCGCTGCATCGACCTGGTGAATGGCTACCAGTGCAACTGCCAGCCGGGCACATCAGGTAAGCCCACCCTGCCTATGTGTGATGTGAGTTGTCACTGTTTCTCAAAAACAATTTATGCGGATGTCTCAGACTGTTGGCACCTGCTCAGATAAGTAAAGAATAGTCCTGATTCTGAGGACAGGCAAAGCCACACACGCACACATCTCACAGGCATATGGCGCTAGACAGTGGAGAATTTGGAAAGCTGGTAATTTTGTGTTGAAAGTATATTGGGGGCACACCACTCCAAAAATGGAAATTATTATTTAAAATAGAAAACGTTCTCACCTTAGTGGCTTGATTCATTTTAATTCATTTTGTTTTTTCTTTAACCTCCCTCTCCCACACTCTACCCAGATTGATGAAGTCTCTCCCTCCCCCCACCTGCTGCCTTTCTCCCTCCCTTGTCTCTTCATTCTTTCCTTCCCTCTTCTGTTTCCTCTTCCCTCTTCCACAATCCAGTGTTCTTAATGTGACATATCTGCCCCTTTTCCTGGTGGGGCCTTAGGCATCTTGGGAGATTCTCAGAGGCAGGAGATACTTTGCAGCACATCATAGCAGTTATAAAGTGGAACTGCCATTCCCCACTCTCAGAGTTCAGTGCTGTCCCCTGACCTTGGGTGAATGACTGCTTGTCAGTTGTGAAGGCATCTGCTCCTTGTTGGGGGTGAGTTATTTTCTTAGGCGGCAGGTCTAAGTCGGCAGGTCTTAGGCAGAATCCAGGTTTCACTGGATTCTGTTTTACTTATTAGATGAATGGTTATGGTCACAACTGTGGTTAATGGACAGAGAAGTACTATGCTCAGATCAAAGGAAAATACATTAGTGGAAGATTAACCAATGTGCACCTTTGTTCGAAGGGAACCTGCCAATATAAGGGAGTGATTTATTGAGAACTCATTCTGGACTTGAGGAAAATGACCTACATAGGGGGCTGAGGGTAAAGAAGTAGTTAGTTGCCCTAATTTTATTTTGTTATTTCCAAATCCATTTCTTCAGAGTTGTCAGAGGCCCTGGTCTCTATCCAGGGCCTCATACATGCCAAGTTTGAAAACAAAGTCCTTTTTGAATTGCTCAAGCATACGAAAAACATCCCGTGCAGTCACAGCTGAAAATGCCTTCCTCTCCTCACATTTAGATAACTCACTAGAAGGGCTGAATAGGTCTTTGTAAAAACTTCCAAAAGCAATTTGCTTCTGGGTTGGTCCCCAGACTTGAGAAATTACAGGACGAAAAGAAATTTGAGAGATTTACAAGCAACTGAATGGATGCCTTTAGAATGGAGGAGCTGTTTAAGGCTTTGCTATCATTCCCATCATAACAAACATACTGGAAACCTGGGCGAGGGGTGGGTTGGCAAGCAGGTTGTTTTCACCGAGGTGATATCCCTGTGCCAGGATGTATCAGGTGTGTTTTGGGGGGGAGGACAGAGAGGCACAGTGTATGTGGCTGTCACCAAGAAGGCAAGAAGTCAGCGTGAGTTGTCTGTAGGCAGAACGAGGAAGGAAAGACCCAGAATCTCTCGAATCTGCCAAATCCATTCCTTGCAGCTGTTTGGAGAATTAAAGCAAAGAGAGGCAGCCAACATAAAGAAATGTCAGCCTGTAATGGATGGAGAAGGAGCTGGCACATACCAGGGACTCGGGTGGAAAGTCCATGAAGTGAGGTATTATGATTAGACTCTCAGGTTTCAGAGTAAGAATCCCTGATCTTTTTACAAAATGGTGTATGTTGGTAGCTCAGGCTTTGGATGGGTGTGGATGGGAGGGACACTTTACCATTTGCTTGTTGAGATTGTGGTGTTCACTCACCGTGTACTTGAAGTGAGGTATATACCTAGAGTCACTTTCACTGCCTCTTCGCATCTGAGCTTTTATGGTGGCAAAACTATTTTAAATTCATTTCTTTTTGTTTTAGGTAATAGAGACCTACTTGAGCTAGCTTAAGAATTATTTACAAACAAATGAATAGCCACAAACCCCAGTAACAATGAATTTAGTGTAAACACACAGAACCTCTTATGGATTCCCAGCAAGAATTGATGATGAGGCTTTGGAGCGACTGGCAGGAGGCAGGGCAGTTTGCAGAGCAGAGGACACAGGGTCAGCCTTGCAGGGAGAGAACCTGGTTGGCCCAGCTTGATCCAGATGTCTGCTCCTGCTTGAATAATCCATGGACAACAGGGGTCTGGGTCACATTGGATCACCAGAGTTTCATGATGCAGGGCTGCCCTCTGGGCTGAGAGTGAATGGGGGTTGTCAGCCAAGGGCTGGAAACATCTCCTGAAGGTACCCACTGGTCTGCAAGGATACGCAAATCCTTTCCTCATTTTGGCCAGGAGGCAGTGCAGCCTCACTAACCATGGAAGGACAGTGTGGTGGGAAGTGTAGAGCTGTGGAGCCAGAGGGTTCGGATCCAGCTGTCCTGTCTAATCTGTGGACTTTCTGTCACGTGTAAAATGGGTGTGACATAGCCTGTTCCCTTTATAATTATTACCAGTAAATGTTAATGCAAGGTGTAAGTGAATTAGAAACGTGGAATTTGTCCTGAATGTTTTTTTTTTTATATTCTTATTACCAGGTTTCATTTTTAGGCTGTCAAAATTACCAATGTAGTCTCCTACAATTCCCAGAAAGCACCACTAACTTTATATAAAGTAGTGAAATTATGTGAGTATTTTTCCATAATCAAGATAACAGTAATTATCGATAAATCCCTGCTGTTTAGTTAACCATATTCAGATCTAAACTTGTGTGAATGTAGATAAACCCTTCCATTCATCTGAAGAATAGACCTGGAATAAGGCATTGTACGTAAGGGGGGAGTTACTCAGCTCACTAAGATCTGTAAGATTAATCTTGAACATCAGCACATAACACTGTGGTCACAGTAAAGCTACAATAATGTATACCAGTCCAAAAATTTTAGTTTTGATTTGAAAGCTCCAATTTTATTTGTGGCATAAGATTCTGTCATTTGCTTTTCTTGCAGTCACAGGTTTGCTCCTTTCATTTAATCATTGCTGTATATTCAGTTCTGAATAACCCTGGTTTGTCAGTTGTTCTTTGACTTAAGATGACAAAAGCAGCTATTTGCGGTCGTAACTCCCTCGGCCCCACAACTGCTCTTTCTGGAGACAGCTCTTGGACCCAGCATGCTTTACGACGTTCCATTCCATCACACGGGGTAGTAGACATACACTCGAGGTTTACGACTGAATAAAACTGTGAAGTCAATCATTTTAACTTCTTCACCAAAGCCACACTTCCAGTGAACCTGACATTTTTACCTGCTTGCTTGACTGTGGGCAGCGGAGGCAGGGAAAAGAACGACCGCTAGTACGGTGTGGTGCCACCACCCTGATTGTGCCACGATGCCACCAGCTTTGTCCCTTGCCTGTGCACCATCAGTGTGACTGTCAACACAGTGAAGAGGGCAAACAGTGGCCTATAAACAGATTAAATCCTTTGCACCCCAGCGTCCCCCTGAGTGAGTCTCTGGGTTGTGCATTGTGAACTGCTGCTTGGCCCTGCCTGAGGTTGGCTGGGACCCCTGAGCTTTATTAGCACACAGCATCTCGCGTGCAGACAGCCTTGCTGTTTCTGTGCTAACATTGAATGGTTTTTCTCGGTTTTCTCTGCAGGGGTTCACTGTGAAATTAACTTTGATGACTGCGCAAGTGCCCCTTGTGTCCATGGTGTCTGTATGGACGGCATCAGTCGTTACACCTGTGTCTGCTCACCCGGCTTCACAGGTAATGCTCCTTTTATTGGAAAGCCTTTCCTTCAGCCCTGTCACTTTGGGGAAATGGCACAAAAAGGAAAATTATTTTTTAAATGGCTCCCATTCCTGTGGCTCTCTGGAAGGTTAGAAGCTGATTTTTCTGAAGCTTTGAACCGGTTTATCACTTAGAGACCTTTCCTAAACTGAAACAGGACATTTTCATTGATTAGGATTTTTAAATCATGTGTTTCTTGCTACTTGAAAAGAATGCCAGATAGACCACAAGTTTTCGTCGTTTTACTCGAGTTCCACAGCTTCTAAAGCCACCTGTGCTCCTCTGTAGGTGGTACTCAGTGCATTCTGTAGCACGGCACTCAAGGCACAATTCTAGGAAAACACTAACTTCTGGGTATTTCTAGGAGATTGTTGGACGAAGTCAGAATTTGGGAAACACCTACTAATTTGGGCAGCTCGAATAAGGTCTTCCTGCTCAGGAGGAAGTAAATTAATAAAGTGAATGGCTAAAATAATTGTGAATGTTATTGTTCATCAAGCCTAAACATCTCGGCCACATGCACATGCACGCATGTGTGCAAACACACTGCCCTGTCTTCTCTTTACTTTTTTATGTTGCCTTCACCTTTTGCCTTCCTGATCAAAGAACCTTAGTGGCTGCTACTGTGGAAACATGGGGCTTGCCAGCCACACCCCTACATTTGGTAACTGGCCCCATCACAGGGCATATGCTGTGTGTTCTGTTCTTTCTGGGCATTGCCACACTCAACATGGCCACTGAAATATTGTTGCCTCTCAATACATTTTGTATGGTCGTCTGCACCGTATATGAGAATCAGCCTTTGGAACATTTGACAGAGCCCACAAAGGCCAGCCAGCGTCAAGCAAAATAAATATCTATCATTTACTTGCCAGGAATGCACTTTGCTATCTATTTCACAAGCATTTCTTCTATTTAACATGATTATAGACCGTTGAGAAGAAACTCTGTGGCTCAAGTGGGTCACAAGGATCCCTGTTGAGTGGACAATGACTGAGAATCCAGATATGATGAAAACTTCCATGCCCAGTGCCCAGCCACTGTGGCAGCCTGAAGTACTTCTGCAGCCTGAAACTTGTTACCCCAAGATCAAGTGGCAGTTAATTGAACACACAAAATCCCTGCTAGGTAGGATAATAGGCGCATTGTTGTTCAGTGGGTAACAGGAAGAGAATAGCTAACATTATCGAGGATTTGCTCTGAGCTGGGACTAAATTAAGTGCCAAATGTTCCTTGTCACTACTATTTTCATTCCTGTGGTGTTGACGAGAATCCCAGAGCCCAGAGAGGTTAGTAATGTACCAGTGCACTGCAGACAGCCTGAGCCCAGAGCCAGGCTCATTCCCACCGCCCAGGACAGCCTGAGTGGGAGCCTGTAGAATGTCCTTTTGGGTTTATATAAGGCTCTACTGGACTCTTTTTTCCTTTCTGAAATTCCAGTGAATTGTATTCTTTCTCTTTTTAACATTCAGAAAACCAGGGAAGGTCAAGGAGGGGAGGACATAGGCTAAAAATATTCTAAAACAAACTTGAGGTGTAGCATGGAACTCCATAACTAAGAAATGGAATGTTTTGGTTACCGGGTGGTACCCTGCCCTTGGAACTATTTGTTATGTCTGAGATTATTTTTCAAATGAGCTGCTGAAAATATCGCAGACTGTTGTGGTATATATTACATATACTCATCAGCAGCAAATGTGAGGAGTCATGTTCTTGTTTTATTTTAATACTTTTTTATTTACCAATTTAAACAGCTTTGACAGATTTTAGGGAGAGGGAGAGGTTTGTTTGTTTGAACTAACTTACTTTCTTACTTTCTTTCTTTCTTTCTCTTTCTCTTTCTCTTTCTTTCTTTCCTGGTTTGAAGAGTAAATTCTCTGTTTTCCTAGACCTCTCTGAATATAGCAAATTAAGGAACTATGTGTTGCGCCTGTAAATTGCTTTTCAGTTTTGTTAAAAAGCACCTTCATATTCATTGTCTTCTTGGATTCTCATAATAGCCCAGAGAGGAAGTTCTATTACTACCCTTGAACGTGGCAACTGAGAGATGGAACTCTGCATAATGAGTTCAGCTAATGAGTCTCACAGGGATGGCTCTGAGTTCCCAGAAGGCAGAGATCACTTTTAATCATCTTTATACCAAGTGTCTAAAGAAATGTCTAGCACAAAGGAGACACTTAGTAAATGGTGCTTAATGAATGAATGAATGAATTGATTACAGTACTTGATTACAGGACTTGATTACAGTACTTTTGCTATCCAACTTCAGACTCTAGTGTGTGGACTATACCATTGCTTCGTTTATTAAACACCAATTTATTGAGTAACCAGGGAGTAAGAAACATTGGCTATCTTCTCATTTCAGTAATTACTGAGCCCAGCAAGGTGCATGGCCTTGCAATAGAAAGGAAGGAAACTCCTTGAGTATGAACCTGGCTGATGGTGCAACTGTCAGCCAACCCAGCAGATTGCACAAGGAGATAAACACTTAACACACTTGGGTAAAGATGACTTGAAAATGTCTTCTGCAAAGAGATTAAAGGCAGGGAAGTAATCTTGGGAGGAGCAGCTTCTGAGATGTTTCTAAAACAGAACAAATATGAAAAAGGCTTTTCCTTACCCTCCATTGCTTTGCAGGCAGAGGCCTGCTCTGCGGTGGAAGAGCTCTGGTTCATATCTTGGTGCCAGTGGCAAACATCTTGAAGAATCAGTGCTTGAGGCTAAGGAAATATTATTTTAAAAGAAGTTACTAATAAAACAGTTCAGAGGAAAAGAGCAACCACTTCCAAATTATGGGTCTTTACCACAAGAACCACCAGTAGAGAGCACTGGAGGGTGAAAAATGTTAGTACTCACACTTTTATGAGTAGGTATCTATTTCACTTGGAATGTCCTAGTGTAAATGCAGGGTTGCTGTTTCTTAAATGAAAAAACATGGCTATTCATAAATTCCTTCATCGCAGTTGCTCAATGTTATTCATTTACAAAATTATGAGTAATTTTGAAATTGCAGATTTTCCAGAAATACACAGTTAAATCTCAGTTATTCAAACATAACAAATCATAACACTTATATAATGTCCTGGTAACTTTATTTAGCTTGATGCAACAAATATTGTTAAAACAAACATCTTTTCAATGTACAATTTTATATGTCTTAGAGGAAGAACATAATCACTTCAGTTCATATATTCTCATCATTTACACTATTAGATGATGGGAAATAATAGTCTTGAAAAGAATTTATGAAAATACATTGTTTACAACCCCTACATTAAAAAAAAAAATCTTGCTTGATTCTATCACAGTCTATACCAATGGGACCTAGACATTTCTATTTAAAATAACTATTGGAAGCTGGTATTCTTCATATATTAGAGTTTGAGAACCACATGTCTAGATTAGGAGACCCTGTATTGTCTTCTCTGTCATCAAAGGGCAATAAAATAATGCTTAGAGATTCTATATCCTGAGATTTAAAAGATAGATTGAAGCAATTATAATAATGAAAACAAAATAGCTTTTTTTTTTTTTTTGAGACAGAGCCTCAAGCTATTCCCCTGGGTAGAGCGCTGTGGCATCACAGCTCACAGCAACCTCCAACTCCTGGGCTCAAGCGAGTCTCCTGCCTCAGCCTCCCAAGTAGCTGGGACCACAGGTGCCCGCCACAGCGCCCGGCTATTTTTTGGTTGCAGCCATCATTGTTGTTTTGGCAGGCCTGGGCTGGGGACTCAAACCTGCCACCTTAGGTGTATTGGCTGGTGCCTTAGCCACTTGAGCCACAGGTGCTGAGCCCAAAATAGCTTTTTTATAATCAGTTTAACCATTAAATTTACAGTTCATTCACTGACTAATTTCAGTTTGACCAGAAATATAAGAGGCTAACTAAATGGCCAGGCGCGGTGGCTCATGCCTATAATCCTACCATTCTGACAGGCCAAGGCCAGTGGATCGCTTGATCTCAGGAGTTCAAAACCAGCCTGAGCAAGAGCAAGACCTTGTCTCTACTAACAATAGAAAAAGTAGCCAGGCATTGTGACTGGCAACTGTAGTCTCAGCTACTCAAGAGGCTGAGGCAAGAAGATCTCTTGAGCCCAAGAGTTTGAGGTTGCTGTGTGCTGTGATGCAAGGGGACTCTACCCAGGGTGACAGACTGAGACTCTGTCTAAAAAAAAAAAAAAAAGAGGCTAACTAAAAAAATGAATTTGGATAAATGAGCATTCTTAGGACAGTATTAAGAGGAGAAGCCATCTTTGGTAACCTTTTTAATTGTCTTTATAAAACTTTGTGAAGTTTCCCCATTTCTAAGAGGAAAAGAAGACATACATGTCAAAATGCTTCAGCACTATTCCAGTCTTTTGTTAAATTTGCTTCATTAACAGAAGTCAGTGTGCTTTCCTTGCATGGCATTGAGTGCTATTGGGTGTCTCTTCCTTAAATCCCAACATTTGGTGCCCCAAGGCAGCTTTTAAAGGCCTGTGCAGACTCCTAGTGCTGGGTCTATTCTGTAAGCACTTGGAATGTGAATGACACTGTCCCCCTTCTCCACAGGGCAGAGATGTAACATTGACATTGACGAGTGTGCCTCTAATCCCTGTCGCAAGGGTGCCACGTGTATCAATGATGTGAACGGTTTCCGCTGTGTGTGCCCTGAGGGGCCCCATCACCCCAGCTGCTACTCGCAGGTGAACGAGTGCCTCAGCAATCCCTGCATCCATGGAAACTGTACTGGAGGCCTCAGTGGGTGAGCAGCTGCACGTGCGAAGTTTCTACTAACCTGTGTCAAGACGGTGGTTTTGGCTCGGCGCCTATAGCTCAACCAGCTAAGGCGCCAGCCACGTACACCTAAGGTGGCGGGTTCAAATCCCCAGCCCGGACCCGCTATACTGCAATGACGGCTCCAACCAAAAAATAGCCGGGCGTTGTGGTGGGCGCCTGTGGTCCCAGCTACTTGGGAGGCGGAGGCAGAAGACTTGCTTGAGCCCAGGAGTTGGAGGTTGCTGTGAGCTGTAATGCCACGGCACTCTACCTGGGGGGACAGCTTGAGGCTCTGTCTCCAAAAAAAAAAACGGTGGTTTTTAGGACAGGCAATAGCTTGAAGAAGTCAGTTGGGGATATGAGCTGAGACTTGGTTGAAGATTTTGATAGTTTGCGTTGAAGCCTTCCAGGTTACCACTTCATCCGTAGAAGCTCTGGCCCCAAGTTCCCGTGACTGAGAACCTAGGTGAAAAATAAGGAAGAATGTCTCCTGTACACAGGGCATCAGCTAGGATCTTATTGAGAAGGGCCCAGGCTTATTTCATGAGGCTTTGACAATTGTTTTTTTTTAGTACTTACCACAGGATTGATATCTGAGGAATGTTCTAGCCTTTGATTTTTCCCCTTGCTTGAACACAGCTCAGCTCTGTCCTGTCACAGTACCAGTTCCTGCTCTGAAGTAGGGCAGCTTCAGCCAGCTGTATCTGTGGCCATGGTAAACATTCCCACTTTCAAAGCCCTTGGGATTGTGTGAAGTGTTGGCATTTTCTAGACTCAGGAATGCAACCTTAAATCCCATGAGATCGTCTTATACTCCTGCTAGGACAGGGCTAGCCATAGGACAGAGCTTCAGGCCTTCCCATTTGCTAAATTTCCACCAGTTAAAATAATAAAAAGTATATTAAGAGGTAAGTGTGAAATAAAGTATAACTATTACTGTTTCACAGTAGAGCAAGTTTCAAAGCACTCTCATCCATCTGCCTTTTTCTTAAAGATCACCAAAAAGAAATACTATTATTTTCACATATCACAATTTAAATGCTAATGATGTTCAAATTAGAGATTATATATACGTAAATATATCAAATTTCTTCATTCTTGTACTTTTTCCAGCTGGATGCTTTCTGAGGTTAGGTTTCAGGTCAGAATAAAGTGCTCTTTAGATGTCAGGTAACCAAGGATTACCTTGGAGTAGCTCAGGGTCTTTGCTGATCACCTGTTTCCTGAGTGTCTATTTTGCACAAGAAATAAGTGATCCTAAGGTTTGTTTACTTTAGTTTTATGTTTAATAAAATACATTGTGCAGATTTATCCCTGTAAATGTTTCCTTCATATTTTCCCAATATATTGTACGGATTATTGTTAACATATGAAATTTCGTGACCTTGATCAGCACCATGCAGGTGTCTTTCCTGGATGGCCCAGATGGGTCCATGTTATTCACATCATCTGCAAATTGATACACATATAGACCAGAGGAAAGTAGAAATGATACTAGTTTACCTGTCAGTTCTTCTTTTCCCTGTTTGTTCATCAAGTCCTGTATTCAGTCTGTGACTCAATTGTAATGTCAGACCTCCCACAGTAAAGTGTTCCCTCTTCTTTCAGATATAAGTGCCTCTGTGATGCAGGCTGGGTTGGCATCAACTGTGACATGGACAAAGATGAGTGTCTTTCTAACCCATGCCAGAATGGAGGAATTTGTGACAATCTGGTGAATGGATACAGGTGTACTTGCAAGAAAGGCTTTAAAGGTAAAAACAAAAGTACATCTTTCTTGTCTGCTCTTTTTGTGGACTGCTGAACTCATTCTTAGTTTTCCTGTCTTTGTTTTCATTCACTTATGTAGTAAACATATGGAGCAAATATTACTTACAAGGTGCTTGGGGAATAAAAACATGAACAAATATAATTTCTACCTTCACGCTAGCAGTGAGGTGAGCTTTGAAGATGAGCACTTTAAGACTCTGTTCAAACAGTTTTGGATAAATGTCTAACTGTGTTTCTTGGTCCGGGTTTAACTCTATGATAAATTAAATAGATAACATGAAAATATTTTGCTTACTGCATCATGATAGCAATAATATCCTGGAGGAATCCATATGTTCTGAACTCCTTCAACAAACTCTGAGATGTTCTTATGTGCTTAGTTATGGTCATGGTAGTTGTGTAAAGTCTTTTCTTGAGTTGTCATTGTCACATTGCTACATTCAGTTTTCTCTGAGAAACTCACTAAGGAAACACGTGTGTGTGTGTAAGTCACTCGTGTTTGCACTTATCTGCTTATTCATTGATTTCCCCACTCAGACATTGTGCCAGGCTATTATAATACATCAATAGATTTTAGAGCAGATTTGTTTGATTACTCAAAAATTTTCTGAAACCATATTTGAGTCTTTAATTTTCTGATACATTGCATTACATTTGCAAAGAAATTTTAGATTTAAAAGACTTTTATTTCTTCATCTCACTGAGACTTGTTTATCTATCAATGGGCAAAATAAAATTCAGAGGTAAAATCGAAAGTCAGGTTCCCAGCGAGCAGCAGTGCATATCTTAAACCCAGAACTCTGTGCTCCCAGACCATCGCTTTCTTTTGTGCAGTGCCAGAGTGTCTCAATTTTAAGGCCCTGTGCAAAGGTTCCCATTAATCCTTCATTCTTTCTCTCCTTTTCTTAGAGGTAGAGGGTTTCATGCCTTGAATCAATAGAAAACAGCTTCCTAGAGACTCTACTTATTAAAGAGTGTATGGAAATCAGAGGCTTTGGTTAATGTGTTTAAAAGGTTATCCCTTTTCTGGACCAGAAACTTTGTATCCAATGGGCTTATATTTAGATCAAAGATCAGGCTTTCACCTTTAATAAATTTCTCTGTTCATTATGGAGCAATTACTTGCATTTGGAGGAGCATCAGGCTTTCTGACCATTAGAATAGGCTGTTGTGCCGTTCATCTTGTAACTCACCACGTGCTGGCATTTACTGACCGTATACCATGGACCTGTGGCTGAAATGAATGAACAGGTGTTCCAGTGGCCTGAAGAGATGAGTGTAGTTTTCCAGGCGTTCACTAAGGAGGCTGACAGAAAGTTTCACTGTTTTTGCTTTTTTCCCTTTCTGTCTACAGGCTATAACTGCCAGGTGAATATTGATGAGTGTGCTTCAAATCCCTGCCTGAACCAAGGAACTTGCGTTGATGACATAAGTGGCTATACTTGCCAGTGTGTGCTGCCATACACAGGTGGGTCCTGCAGGTGCCTGCAGAGAGCAGAGGGGATGTGCGGCCCTGCCTTGGGTCTCCGCATCCTGGTCTGTGGGGCAGTGATGCTGCTCTGAGGACTCACTCCCTGATTTTCCTTCTTGACCTCACGGACTGGCTGTTGAGCTTTGAACAAAACATTGTTTTCTCCTTAGTGCAAGTGTGGGGCAATCATTTGCTGCCTTTATGCTTTAGTGTTTGGAATTTTTTTTTTAAATTACATGTGGCTGGCACCTGGTACACAGCTAGTGGTTTACTCCATGATTTGAATGAACCTGTGTTTTTTGAATTTGCCCTATTAATTTTAGTGTCAATCATTTATCAGTAATTTGTGATACACTAGGTGCTTTTTATACTTTGGGTTATTTGATCTATTCTTCAGTACGTCTACAAGGCAGAAGTGGCTGTTGCCACTTTGTACTTGAGGAGGCTGAGACAAATGGGGCTCGCTTGCTCATGGCCATGTAGGTAAGCAGTCCATCTCGGATGTACCCGCAAGTCTCTCTGAATCCAAATTCCTCCTAACTCCCTTTCTGCCCCTCACGTTTAGTTCCTCTGTGCCTCTCTCAAAGGCATTGCCCCTGGGACAGCTGTCACACTCTGGGAAGACACATGTGACTTCACCTCAGGTGCCCTTTCCTTCAGGTGTTATGTTTGGAGTGTGCGTAGACCTTCAGCCTCTGTTTTCTGTGGCCTTATTGCTGCCCTCTTGTGACTGTCAGTATTTCTATGACTGTGTATCGGCTTTTCTTCCATTTTACTCGTTCAGAGGGAACAGTGCACAAGTATGGGCAGTGGCTTTGCCTGTTTCATCAGACGGCGGCATGTAGGCAGATACATGGCCAAGTGTTTCCTCCCTTGGTGTCATGAGCTGGTCACACCAGCTGTTGATAGTGACGCTAAGCTCTACAGACTAGCAGAGTGCCACAGGCATGACTGCGCTTTCTGAAGGTCTTGATTCTGCCATCTTGACCTTTGTGCCCCTTTTGCATGAAATGTTACTGTAGGGAAACTGCATTTAACCTGTCTGGTTTATCAAATCAGAGTTACAGGACGTCTGTAACTATCCCCAGACAAAGGCTGTATCAGCAATGTCATTTTATAGTGACACTGCTAATCACCTTTGTTGATAGTGGAAAGATTATCTCATGTACAGCTATAAGGAGTGAGAAGTGACAAATGTGGGGAGACAGAAGGAGGCGTCACCATGCTCCACCGCACCCTCGGCTTCCTCACTGGGTGTCTTAGGCAGATAGAGTTTATTTGGATAATTTTTATTTGGTCATCATGCTGTTTAGACCCAGTAAGATATTTGATTATATGCTGGCTATTGATTTTTTTGTTTGTTTGTTTGTTTCCGGAGAAGGATACCAATGAAAGAATTTATTATGTGTTACCTTGGAGAAGTTATATCTGACCCACAGCCTTTACAGGGTCACTTTTTAGTTTTCCATGTGGCTAGGAGTTCTAAGCTTTGTGGAGTTTGTCCAGAATAGGGGATTAGCAGCTTTGCTTGCCCATGTAAACCACTGTCTGGTCAGATACATTTAAAACTGGTTGAGGCTATATTTAAGGAAAATTTGTGGTAATTGTTACTTCTTTCTGAATGCAAAATTTTAGAATGAAACCTAAAGTTGAGTTAGTGTAACTTTAAATAAAGATAACCTCATCTGTTTCTTAATAAAAGCATTCTTATTTAATTTTCTGTTTGTTTTTGCTGCACGCTTATATCTAGCATATGAGGTAGGATGTATTGGTGGGCTGTGAGAGCCATATTGATATAAGCACAAGAAGGTGGGTCACCTCAGTCAGAACTGCTACTCTGTCTCCCTCCTCTGACATGCCTGCTTTCAGGAGAGCAGAGATTGTGAGGCGCAGGAGGCCGTGCTTGCCTCTTCCCTGCCACGCACAGATGGATCGTGTGGCTGAGCTTATGAGAGCTGAATCTGAGCTAGGGAAATGCAGAACACCTGACTGAGGCAGGTGTCCAAATCCAAGTAAACACTCACGATGTAAAAGTGAAGATGACAGCCACCCAGAAGTGGTGGAGTACTCGTTCTATGCTCCAGGCTCTGTGGGAATAAGGACTTAGTGTGTATTATTTTCTTGTGACGCACACAAATTCTCTATAAGTTACATGCTATTCTAATTCTCATTGCATTTATGAGGTGCTCAGGTAAGATCAATAACTTTCCCAAGATCATACACCTATGTCAGAGCCAAGAGAGCCAGGACTATGAGTCCGTCAGACACCAAAGCCTCTTACTAACTACTTCCTGTGTGAATTCTGAGAACATCCTTGGTATACAGTTGGGGGATTTTTTCATTTTCTTGGCTGGTTCTTTATCATAAATGCTGTTATTTGCTTTCTAGGAAAGAATTGTCAGACTGTATTGGCTCCTTGTTCCCCAAACCCTTGTGAGAACGCTGCTGTTTGCAAAGAGGCACCAAATTTTGAGAGTTACAGCTGTCTGTGTGCTCCCGGCTGGCAAGGTAACAACATGGGGATGGACACCAAGAATATACATTCTGAACTTTAAACAGTGATGAGGGCATCAGACAACTTGAGAAGCCCTGGTCCTCTGGCTGCTGACTGGAATGGCCTTTCTTCCCATTGTCCATGTCTTTGGGGCCCCCTAGTGGTTACAGGACTCCAACCTGGGAGTCAAACTATGATGTTCTTTCTAGGTGAGTTTAGCACCTTGTCAACACTACACAGGGGCGCAGCAGCCTTGATGGGGCTTTCCAAAGGAGGACACCAACCAGGATTTCCTTGGAGTAGCTCCATCCATCCCAGCCAAGCTCAGGCCCTACCTAGATGACTATGGGAATCAGCTTCTGGCTTGGTTGTTCATTGCCCTGTATTTCTAGGTCAGCGATGCACAATTGACATTGATGAGTGCGTCTCCAAGCCCTGCATGAACCACGGTCTCTGCCATAACACCCAGGGCAGCTACATGTGTGAATGCCCTCCAGGCTTCAGTGGTGTGGACTGCGAAGAGGACATCGATGACTGCCTTGCCAGTGAGTACTTCTGCAGCCCCTGACCCCCAGGGAGCAGAGGGGAGCTGGTGTGGGCTGCCCCCTCTCACGCTGACATCGGCTGTAGTAGTCATTCACAGAGAATATTTAACCCTCGTGTTTTAACTGTTTGTTTCGAAAGTAGCGTCATTAGGATTTGTGGCAGTTGGTTCCTTTTTAAGCATTCTGTGAAGTTTTGAACATTGACAAAATGGGAACAATGCCAGAATAGCCATTTTTTAAAAAATGTTTTGTTAAAGTATGATTAACATATAATGAACTGCAATTATTTTAATTATCCATTTGACGATTTTTACATATGACAACTGAATCTGTCATCCAAGATAATGAACATATGTAAAAGTATCTTTATTGCCTGGTAATTTAATCCTCCACCCTTCTTTCTTGCTTCACACAACTTTAGATCTACCATCTATCAGTACAGATTAAATGAAATTTTTTGCCATTTTATATAAATACAATCGTATAAAGCATTATTTTTGGGGGGAGAGGTTAACTTTTCCATGTTGGTATTTATATGAATAGTTCATTCTATAATATTTTATATTTGTGCAGTGTTCCCAAATGTGGATATACTATAGTTTAATAGTTGATAGCCATTTGGGATTTTTTTCCCAGTTTGGGGTTATTACAAAGCTTCTGTGAATGAGTGTTTCTGTGGACATAAGATTTTGTTTGTCTTGAGTAAATATGTAGGAGCAGAATGGGTGACTCTTGTGGTAAGTGTATGTTTAACTTTCTGAAAAGTTGCAAAACTGTTTTCCAGCATGATTGTCCCTTCTTTATTCTTACCAGAATTGTATTAAAGCCCTAGCTATGCACATACTTAGGAGCACTTAGTAATATCATTCATTTGAACTTAAAGCTCTTTTCATGGATATATAATGGTATCCCACTGTGATTTCCATTTGTATTAGCCTCTTTGCTAATGGTGTTAAACATCTTATGTGCTCTTTGCCAATCTACATATCGTCTTTGGTAAAATGTCTGTTCAAATCTCTTGCCAATTTGAAAAAATTGTTTTCTCATTATTGAGTTGAAAGAGTTTTTTATATTCTAAATACCAGTTCTTTGCCAGATGTTTGCTTTACAATGATTTTCTCTCAATTTATAGTCTCTCTTTTGCTCTTCTTTTAGAGAGGAAGATTTTAATACTGATGAAATTCAGTGCACTGATACTTCCCTTTTGTAGTCCAGGCTTCATGTATCTTGTTTAATAAACCTTGCCTAATCAAAACTAAAGGTTTATCTCCTAAAATTTTTCTAAAGGTTTTATACTTTTCATCTCTTACTGTGATCTATTTTGAGTTAATTTTTACATGTTTTATGAGTTAATAGGTATAATTTTTTTAGTAAGTGTAGAAAATTCCTTTAGGAGTTCTAGGTCCCTAGATTAGCATTTAGATCTGTTCAGATGCCAAGAATTTTCTACAGAGATAATTATGTTATCTATAAATAAAGACAACCTTTATGCCAGTTATTTTATTTCACTTATTTTACCTTATTATTTTATATGACTGTATTCACTAACACATTCAGAAAATGTAGAATAGAAGAGCTGAAAGAAACCAATCTTGCCTTGTTTTTGATTGTAGGAGAGAAGTGTCTAGTTGCCTTTTACCATTAACGTATTACCTGTTGGTTTTTCACAGATGATCAAGTTAAGAGATTTACACTTGAATTTCTGGTTTACTTCTTTTTTTCTTTTACAATGAATGGATGTTGATTCTTTTTTAAAATGATTTCTCCACCTCTTTTGAGATGGGAAATGTCATTTGTTTCTGATCTTTAACTATAAATGCTAATTGATTTTCCAAATGTTAAACTAATCTTAAATTCTTGAGCTATATCCACTTGGTCATCATGTATTATCCCTTTTATATATTACTGGATTTGACTTGCCAAAATTTTGCTAAGGATTTTTATATCTGTGTTCATGATTTTCTACTTCTCTTGTACTATAATTAATTGTCTGGTTTTGATAAAAAGGCAGTGTGGGCCTCAGAACAAATTGAGAAGTGTTCCCTTCTACTTTCTAGAGAGTTCATGTATCATCGATATGCATTTTCTTCCAAAGATGGGATTTTCTTTCTAACAGTTTTTAACTATAAATTTAATTCCTCTAATACATGTAGTGCCTATTTGTTTATAATTTGTGCTTTGGCAATATGTGTCTTTCAAAGAATTGGTCTAATTTATCTAAGTTGTCCACTTTGCTGCATAGCGTCATTTATAACATTCTCCCTTCTTGAGCTTTATTATCTGTAAGGTCTGTGGTGATTTTTCTTCTCTCGTTTCTGTATTGATACTTCTATAGAGAAGAGTGTCTATTTTGCGTTTGTTTTGATGGAGTGTTCTATAAATGTTACTAATTCAAGTTATTCACAGAGCGATATCGAAATTTTCTAATATTGGCTCAGCTCCCATAGCTCAGTGGTTAGGGCATTGGCCACATACACTGGGGTTGGTGGGTTCAAACCTGGCCTGGGCCAGCTAAACAGCAATGACAGCTGCAACAAAACAAAAAATAGCCAGGTGTTGTGATGGGCACCTGTAGTCCCAGCTACTTGGGATGCTGAGGCAAGAGAATGGCTTAAGCCTAGGAGTTGGAGGTTGTTGTGAGTGGTGATGCCATAGCACTCTATGGGAATGACATAGTGAGACTCTATGTCTCCAAAAAAAACAAATCTTCTAATATCATTTTATATTCATCTGTTTCTCTAGCAATGCTGTTAATTTTTGCTTAATGTATTGTAAAGCTCTGATATTAAGTGCATAAACACTTAAGATAGTTATGCCCTCATGGAGAAATGACACCTTTATTATTACAAAATAAAATCTTGTCCTATTCCTTGTTCTGAAGTCTACTCTGCCTGATGTTGATAAAGCTCTCTAGCTTTATTTGGTTTATCATTAGGGTTCTTCTTTTCATCTCTTTATTTTTTGCCTATCTGTATCTCTAAAATTGCTTTCTCTAAAATATATATTGGGTCTTTCTCTTTTTCTTTAATATGACAATATCTGTTTTTGGATAGAGGTGTTGTGATTTTAAATTCAATGTAGTTTTTTAAGACTGGGTTTAAAGTTTGCCATCTAGCTGTTTGCCTTAACTTTGCTCTTTCTGTTTGTTGTTTCCATTTCCCTTTTTCTCAGTCATCTTTTAGGATAATGGAGTATTTTTTATAATTACATTTTCTTTCTTTCCTGGCATATTAGCTATGTCTTTTTTTCTATGTGGGGGTTGTAGGATTTATGTTCATCCTGTCTCTGTTCTTTTGCTATACAGTTTACTAAACTCTCCAAGTATTATTTTTGCTTTCAATACACAATTACTTTTTCAATAAATGTGAAAAGTAAGTTACAATTCTTTGTAGTTACCTACATATTTATAATTCTTGATGTTCATTTTGTGTGTAAATTTGCATTTCTATCAGGTATCATTTTCCTTCATTGTGAAGAAATTCCTTCAATGTGTCATTTAGTTCTGGTCTCCTGGTGATGAATTGTTTCTACTTTTGTTTAGCTGAAAGATTTTTATTTTGCCTTAGTTTTCAAAGATATTTTCATAGGGAATAGAATTATAAACCAGGTTTCCCCTTTCCTACCATTGTCTTCTGGCTTGCATTATTTCGGAAGAGAACTCTGCTGTAATTCTTTCTTGTTTTGTTATATGTGATTTTCTTGTGGCTCATTTTAAGATATTCTCCTTCCACTGATTTTTACCCACTTCTTATGATGTCTGTTGGTTGTGTTCTTCATGTTTTTTCTGTCTGGGGTTCATTTTTTGGTGTTTTTTCCTCTTTAGTCTTTCATTTTAGATTAATTATTTAAAGATAATCTTAGTATAGTATTTTCAAGTTCACTAATTGCTTCCTCTGTATTGTCTTGTTTACTGTCAGTCACATTTAGCATATTTTTTCTCAGATACTGTATTTTTATATCTAGAGTTTGATATGAGTCTGTCTTATAACTATTTCTTTGTCATGTTCATGTTTTATTTCCTTCTTGAACATAAGGTATGTGGTTGTTTTGTAGTTTAAAATAGTTATTTTCTTTCTTTGTTTTTGTATTCTACCATACAAAAAATTCCTGGATGTATTCCTACTCATTAAGTTGTATTTTCTTGGCCTGCCTGGTAATTTTTTATTGGATATAGAGATTGTGAATTTCACTTAGTTCCATGCATGACTTCGTTCAGGTTATTTTACCTTTATGAATCTAAGATTAAATTGATGCTGCTGATCACAGCTCTAATTCTTGCATAATGGTTTAGATCCTTGCCAGAATGGAGGTTCCTGTGTGGATGGAGTGAATACTTTTTCCTGTCTCTGCCTCCCGGGCTTCACTGGAGATAAGTGCCAGACAGACATGAATGAGTGTCTGAGTGAACCCTGTAAGAATGGAGGGACCTGCTCTGACTATGTCAACAGTTACACTTGCAAGTGCCAAGCAGGATTTGATGGAGTCCACTGTGAGAACAACATTGATGAATGCACGGAGAGGTAAATAGCCAGTGTACAGGCAGTGGCACCTTAGGAAAAAAAGGAGAAAGGGGAGGAAACTTCAGAACAGAATGCTAGGATTGTGGGTCAGGGATGAGATGTCCACTTGGGTAGCACTCCACAGTCCTCTCCTGTTGCTCAATTCCTGATAGACACAGAGTTAATGAGAAGGTCAAAGGTCAGAGGTTGGCAAGCTTAGTCAGTGGTTCATTTATTTCTTGCTTAGAGACAGAAAGGCCTGTGATTTTATTGTTTTCTCCATGGCTTCTTGTTCATTTCAGTTAACAATTGATCTAAAAATTCCCATTGTGTTACTACTCTTTTATGTAACTTTGGGGAGATAATGTTTCGGGTTTTTTTTTAATTTTTTTATTTTTTGAGACAGAGTCTCATTTTGTGGCCCTCAGTAGAGTGCTGTGGCATCATAGCTCATAGCAACTTCAAACTCTTGGGCTCAAGTGATTCTCTTGCCTTAGTCTCCTGAGTAGCTGGGATTACAGGTGCTTGCCACCATGCCCAGCTAATTTTTAGAGATGAGGTCTCACTCTGGCTCAGGCTGGCCTCAAGCCTGTGAGTTCAGACAATCTAGCCTTCAGTCTCCCAGAGTGCTAGAACTATAGATGGTTAGCCACCATGCCATCCTTATTTCATTTTTTTATATTATATTATGAATATGTTTGTTCTGCTTCTCTTTCATAAAGAAATCTAGAGCAAAAAGGCATTTATTTATCATTTTTCATATAAGTTAAGTTGACTTAGGGGTAAAATGAAATATGATACATGGAAACCACAGGAGTCAAACCTGGAAAACTTCCCTTTCCTTAGCAATCTGGTAGATAAAGCCTTTTAAATACTCCCAAGCCTTTTGGTTGTAGAAAGGTTGGTAATTGGGGCTTCTGGTGCCCATTCTAGCTCGTAAAAAAGTAAAATTTACTGAATATAGGATTTTGAGATACTCAAGCGTATCTTAGATGCCAGAAATCTTGCTTTCCAAACAGCAGGTCAGAGGAACCAGATGCATTGCTGATGCGGCTCTCCCTGCTTTGTTCTTCAGCTCCTGTTTCAATGGTGGCACATGTGTCGATGGAATTAATTCCTTCTCTTGTTTGTGCCCTGTGGGTTTCACTGGTCCCTTCTGCCTCCATGAGATCAATGAATGTAACTCTCATCCGTGCCTGAATGAGGGAACCTGTGTTGATGGCCTGGGTACCTACCACTGCACCTGTCCCTTGGGCTACACTGGGAAAAACTGTCAGGTAATTAACTTCCTTCCCATTTGTTCACCTCTCTGGGAGCAAGCTGAATCATATACCCATTCATGTCTAAGCAGAATATGCCCCTTTAAAAAGAGAAAATCATGGATCTTAGGCGTATCCTTGAGATAAAGCTTGGTAACTTCTTAATAGTTGGTAGATTCCAAAATGATGACACTGGAAATATATGGATTAACACACATAAGATTTTTATTAGAGGTTGACCAAGAACTTCAGAAAAATAACATGTGGGAAGTAAACACATAGTTATCTTCTACATTAAAAACACCAGAAGAGAGAAAACAATCAAAAATTTTAAAGGTCAGATGAAATAACTAAGGGTATAATAATTATATTTACTATGTATTGTGATGTTATAGCATCCTAAAGGCAAACTATTTCCGTGTCTTTTAAATTCAAACATATAATATACATTTTCATTATGTTGGATGGAAGGAGCCCTCCTAAGGGCTAGTCTAACCTTTCATTTCATGAAGAAGTAACTGAACCCTAGGAGGAGCAAAATAACTTTTCCAAGGTTGCGTACCAAACAGCATTGCATTTAATTTTATGCCATTTTGCCTCTTTAACAATGATAGAATAACAGAACTCTAAAGAGCATAGGAATAACTTAGCAGGCACACTTGCATAAGGGTTTGGCTGTGTTGGAAACACACATCCACCTCCACGTGTGAAGCAGCTGGTGACTGAATCTGTAGGTCAAGAGGGCGTTCTTCACTGCACTCCTCATTCCTACAGTGAAGACTGGAGGAGCTGGGGAAGCACTCTTCCTTTCCTCCAGCAAATCATAGGCCTTCCTGTCCCCAGGGGGTGAAGCCACTCCAGATGAATAAAGATGAGAGGTGCTAGTACCCTGGCACTCGTTGCCTCACATTTTCCATAAGCCTGATTATCTGTGTCCCTTTTGAAATAAGCTGTTTAACAGTTTGAGGTTTATTAACAGGCTTTCCGTCCCTTAGCGTGTATGCACTGCAGGTGGATTTGGTGAAAGACCCATGTGAATTTTTCACATGTACTCAGCACAGGAAGAATGAATCTACATGACAGTGTTGACTCTCTTTCTAGCCCTACAGGGTAGCCACATATGTAGACATAATTATGTCTAGAGCATTGGGAGTAATGTAGTGTGTTGGGTTTCCTTGAATTCCTTTTTTTTCTAGAGAAACATAGTCTCATTTTGTCACTCTCACTAGAGTGTGGTGGTTTCACAGCTCACAGCAACTTACAGCTCTTGGGCTTAGGTGATTCTCTTGCCTTGGCCTCCCAGGTAGCTAGGACCAGGCACCCACCACAATGCCTGGCTATTTTTTTGTTGCAATTTGGCCGGGGTCGGATTTGAACCCGCCACCCTCAGTATATGGGCCAGCACCCTACTAACTGAGCCACAGGCGCCGCCCCTCCTTGAATTCTTAAATGTCTATAGCAAGAACTTTTTAAATAGCAGAGCTAAGGGGAATTAGACCTTAAATAATGCCATTTTGTTCAATGTTATTTTGTTATGATGTCAGTGAGAAAAGACACTGATTCTTGAGTGGTCCCATCATCTGTGTGCAGTTTGCATACTCTCCACATGTTTGTGTGGGTTTCCTCCATATCCTGGAGATGTACCCACTAGGTGAACTGGTATGAGTGGTGTGGTGTGACCTGTGGTGAGATGGGCTGCACCCTGGCTGCAGCAGCTCTGACCATTTGCACCCCTGAATTGGAATAATGAGATTGAAAATTGAATGAATGAATATGCAAATTATTATAAAATACAAATTTGTAAAGTCTATGATAATCATGGAAATGCACACCAATAAATGATGCAGCATCAAAGTGCTCAGTGAGCTGACCATGTTTGTTATTGTTCTTTAACTGTGTGGGTAGGAGGAGGTGCTCCTTAGAATTTTCACTTTGCAAACATTTGTTTCTTGAATTAACCCACCACTACTATGACTGCTGTCACTCACTGATTCACCAAAAATTAGGTAGGTAATTCTCTTTAATTGTTTTTATGAGTCTTTCTTAAATGTATGTATAGCTCAAATTTACTTCAATATTTAGTATTAGAAGTATCTATGTCTTTAGTTTGAAGTTTGGTGATGATTTTGTGATCAGAATATGCTAGAGAAACTTAAAGTCTTGTCTGTATCAATTAGCCTATAGTAAAATTGGTTCCATTACACATCTTGGAAACTGCGACTTCACTAACAATTGTAGTTTCCAAGAATCTGTTAAAGGTGTTACATGTGGACCTACTGTATATAAAAATGATAATGTGTATGTTGAGACACTTGATGTAGTTTAAGGCTTGGGTAAGGGCTCTTTATTTTTGTAATTAGCATTCTTTCCTTCGATTTCTTACAGCACAATGGAATTATCTTCTCCGTTTCCAATGTTTGGGTTTTGATGTGTGTACACCTCTGCTTCTGTTTCAGACCCTGGTGAACCTCTGCAGTCGGTCTCCATGTAAAAACAAAGGCACTTGCATTCAGGAAAAAGCAGAGTCTCGTTGTCTGTGTCCATCCGGATGGGCTGGTGCTTACTGTGATGTGCCCAATGTCTCCTGTGAGGTGGCAGCCTCCCGCAGAGGTGAGACAGCAGTCTTCAGGGAGGGGAGGGAAGGGCAGAGTAGTGGATGGGCAGAGCCCTGGAGAAAGGGCCTGAGACAGAAGGTAAAGGATAAAGGAACATGCTTAGCGGTTCCAAAAAGAAATCTATTTGAAATGAAACTGACATACTCCACTTTCAGGGCTTTTTTATTTTTAATACAAATCTGGTGCTGAGGGTTGTGAAGAACTAGATGCGAGTGAAGTTTGAAGTGTGTCAGCCAGTTTGGATTTGCTTCCTCATTCGCTGGTTTAACCCAGTGTGTTGTGTGCTCTTCTGGTACCTCCTCCTGACTGCGTTTCTAGGTGTACCTGTTGACCGTCTGTGCCAGCACTCAGGCGTCTGTATCAGTGCTGGCAGCACACACCACTGCCAATGCCCTCTGGGCTACACTGGGAGCTACTGCGAGGAGCAGCTGGATGAGTGTGTGTCCAACCCCTGCCAGCATGGGGCCACCTGCAGTGACTTCATTGGTGGATACAGATGTGAGGTGAGGACTCTGAGTGGGCAGAGGGCAGAGGCCTCCCAGGGGATTGCGCAGCTGTGCCGAGCACTAGGATGTTGGACTGAGCAGTTGTGTCTCAGTGTTGGCAGTTGATAGATTTTTACCAGTCACCATCATATTGTTTACTGATCACTGTTTCTTTCAGCTTCCCTGTGCAATAAATTAACATGCCCTGGTAAGATATTTTTATAGATGTCTAGAGCCATCTCCTCAGGTCTGCTTCCAGGATTCAGAGCCAGAAGTCACCTCCAGGGTGCGTTTGGGAGGTCTACATAGCACAGCGACCCCTAGCGCTTCCCTAGATAGCAACCAAGGGAGGAGAAGCTGCTTTGAGGAGTGTCCCTTAGGTCCATGTCACCTTTGTGTACAGCCATCGATTGGTCAACTACTATCTTTTAAAAAAAAAACCTAAAAGTGTTGCTCACATTGTTCCCCATAGCACCATGCTAAAGGTTGGTTGCGTGTGTATATTTGAGGAAGTACATGTCTTTAAAGGACATATCACTATCTTCTTAATGTCTGGGCTGATAATTGTTAGAGTAAGATACTAAAAAACACCAGAGACATGGATTTGATACCAGCTCCGACCATTAAGCAGCACTGAGGAAAGCTTTGCAAGAATTTCTACTGTTAGATAAAGGAGTCAAAGATAGCCTCTGTGTGCTGACCCCCTCGGTGGTTTATTTCTTCACATCAGGCTGGGACCCATTAGATCAAAAGCCTACCATGGCCAAACCCAATTTTTTATATATCTGATTGTTTTTAAAAACACCCCAGATAAGCGGGTTTTTAGCATTTAGAGCCTGCCTGCCTTGCATATCTTGCAGGACTGCAGCCAGCACCTTGTAGCCACAGGGTGAGTCACAATGGATGAACCGCAGGGCTATAAAGCCTCAGACTGACGCTCCCCTCCTACTTTGCTTGCTCCCCTCTCAACACTGCCCCCCAGAGGGATCGCCCCCATGTGCAAACATACCAAATGAAGTGTTGCCCAAATAAATCCACCTGACAGATGTTTTTTCTTGATCAGCCCCAGATCTTTCTAAGCCACTATACCTATCACACAGCCAGCTAGCACCCCATCTTCTGTCTCCCCACACACCCCCATCTCAGTCAGTTTCTCATTCATACATGCAATTTCCCAAACCTGGAGATAGATAAATGCTATGTCTTCACTACCATCCACGTGTACTGCTTGGCTGAGTGAGGGATGAGAACTCATCCCATCCAAAGGAATGTATATTTTAAAGATAGGGAAACCTGTACACAGGAGGAAGGAAAGTTTGCACAGGGATCTGAAATATCTGAAATGTCTGAAATATCTCAGAGAATAGTCAGTCCTTGCCTTCCTTTCAAGTGGACTTTTTAGCTGGGAGAGGAATGGGTGAGTTCCGGCAGCCTGCAGCCTGTCCCTGCACAGGATGATTGGCAGATAGTGATGATTCCAGAGAAACGTACAAGTGAGGAGGGAAGGGTCACAGTAATGTTTCAGATCTCACTTGCTCTCATGGTCTGTTGCCAAAGTAGTATAATATTTCTTATCCTTTTTGGTTCCTCCTGGCAGTGTGTCCCAGGATATCAGGGTGTCAACTGCGAGTATGAAGTAGATGAGTGCCAGAATCAGCCTTGCCAGAATGGAGGCACCTGTATTGACCTCGTGAACCATTTCAAGTGCTCCTGCCCACCAGGCACTCGGGGTATGCATTCAGTCTCACCCACGCACCACATGGAGCATTCTCTAAGCTATAAATCTATTCTTAGTGTTGAAGGGATTTTTAAAAATTAACGACAGTAAGATTAACTTCATTTCAAGCATATAGTTCTGCATCTTGGTAATTCAAGCCATTTTATTCTCTCATCTCTTGTTAGCGCTGAGGCTCCAGTTTATGTTCTCAGTTTTATCTAGTTTTTTGACTCTTTTCTTCTGTGAAACACAGCATGTGAATCTAATATAATGTTATAGTAAAATTAGGCTAATCCTCAAGACTAGGAAAAGTAACTAACAGCCTCTTAATAAATAATGCATGTTTCCGAACTGCTTTTGTATTTTTCTAAAACTCTTGCCTCCATAGGTGGGAAAATGAATGAAATTTCTATTTCTTCTAACCATTTGTTAAGGACAGGAAAGAATACTACTTTTGTTATTATTGACAGCTTTTTTCTTTTATCGTTTTAAATTTGCCCCCATCTGCTTTCCTATGTCCGTGCTTGTTAACGAGAGACCAGCTGCTGATCTCACTGACACTCCCTTCTTGTATGCGGCATGTGGCTTCTCTCTTGATGCTTTTAATATTCCTTTATTGTCTTTGTCTTTTGACAGTTTGTGCTTTTTGTAGGTGTAGGTCTCTTTGAGTTTATCCTTTTCTTAGAATTCCTTGGATTATTATACCACGTGTGCTTATTTAGATAAGTGGAACAGTGTTTTTTTCATCGTGACCTAAATGACCACACAACACATTGAGGAGTAACCTCTGATTAGCTGAGCAAGTGTGAACAAGGGTGTTTGTTGTCCCTTGCTGGAAGGCACTGTTCAAAGGATTTTCATAATTTTGTATCTCTTCCTCTCTTCCCCAGGCCTACTTTGTGAAGAGAATGTTGATGACTGTGCTGGAGGCCCCCATTGCCTTAATGGTGGTCAGTGTGTGGACAGGATTGGGGGCTACAGTTGTCACTGCCTGCCTGGCTTTGCTGGGGAACGGTGTGAGGGGGATATCAACGAGTGCCTTTCTAGCCCCTGCAGCTCGGAGGGCAGCCTGGACTGTGTGCAGCTCACCAATGACTACCTGTGTGTCTGCCGCAGCACCTTCACTGGTGAGGGCCACCCCAGCCTCTTGCCACTCTGCCTGGAAAGAGGGTTTTAGTGAAGCTTTTCTTACATACAAGAAACAAGAGCAGCTTAAGGGCCCAGTTTTTTCTTATTTCTTATTTCTGCACTTCATGGATATTGAAATCAATCTCTGTATTTTTTTCTGGAAGATTGTTAGTCATTGATTAATTGTGATATAGCAGGACTATCAAAAAACTATGTTGGGAGTAATAGAGCAAAATGACATTTTTTGATTGTGGGAAAATGCACAAAACCTAAAATTTACCATCTTCATCCTTTTTAAGCTTATAGTTCAGTGGCATTTAGTATACTGACATTATTTTTCTACCATCACCATACCCATCCTCAGAACTCTTTTTATATGAGCAAAATAACATTTTGTTTTCAGGGACGTTAGGTATAACTCTGGTCTCATCACCCTGCCTCCTTTGGATGTAATGACTTGAGTTACTCGACAGTTCCTGCCACTGGCATCTCTCCATTTCTGAGACCCAGGGAAACTTAAGACCTGCTAGGACACTTAAAGGGAGCAGGTCCAAACTAGGGCAGGTTTACCAGAGAAGAGTTAATGAGGGTATAAACTAGAAAGCTACAGTATCACAAATTTGCCCTGCCCAGCTAAGGCCTGTCCATGCTCCTAGTCTTTTCTCAAGCCTCTTTCTCTTTATCGCAGGATATAAAGGTGCCCAAGCCCTGCCTTGGAGTAGAGGCTTTATCACAGGCACTTATTAGTCAGTTTTGGAGAAGAGCGGTGTGGTGACTTTTGGGGAGTAACTTGGGTTCTTGTATCTAGATGTGACAAGATCGTCAGATTAGAAATCTGTCTTGTATTTTCTGGGGTTTGTAGGTATATATTTTATATTGAGGATGTGGTCAAGTGCCTTGGGAGTCAGGTCATAGGCTCTAGTAGTCTGTTAATAATTTAGCAGGCTAAACTCTGTTATATCCTGAATCCATCTCTAGCCTTTTTTCCTTCTAATTTTTAAAATATGCTACCTTTGAGAATCTTGAAATTTTATAAAGAGCAGAGGGGTGAGGGGGGAATTTTTGCCATATGGAAACTGTTACGATGCATTAATATCAAAAGAGGAATATTCCCTTATGAACACCGTACCAGTTGAGGCAGTGTGGGACAGAAAGAGTACGAGTGGTCTATCTACAGCAGTTTGTTAACTGTCTCCTTCAACTTACGAAAGCTGAAATGCCTTCAATAAGCTGAAGGTAGATTTACCATGTTTTCTTTTATGATCAGGTTTGAGTCAATTCTTGCATCTATCCTGCCAAGTGAGAAGGTTTAGAGATGTGAGATGTTTGCCATAGTCCTTACTGTGTAGGCAGAGCAGAGGAGGGACTGGTCTGAGTCAGGAATAGGCAGTTGTGTTGAAATCCAGTGGGTGTTTTCTTTGTTCAGGTTCCTGGAGTCTTAGAGCTGAACTCTCATACCCTTTACTCCATTTGTGGCTGGTTCCTTCCCCAGCAGGATGTTGTTCCGTGGCTTGCAATTACTACTTCTGCCTTTTAAAGTCTCTTTTTATCTTCTGAGGTCGTCACTGTGAAACCTTCGTGGATGTGTGTCCCCAGATGCCTTGCTTGAATGGAGGAACTTGTGCTGTGGCCAGCAATGTGCCTGATGGCTTCATTTGCCGCTGTCCTCCAGTAAGTGCCGTGTTCAGACTTCAGTGGCCTTCTCTCTTTCATACAATCTGTGACAAAACTGGGATTAAACCTGGCTTTATTGCTTGATTTTAGCTTTTTCAGAAGAAAGGTTTTGAGTTTTCTTATTTAAAGCTGTTTAGATAATGCCCAAGAAACAGCTTCCTAATCTGTGCCTATCAATCTTCAGAAGCACCCAGGGAAAACCACAGGAAGTTGTGGTATGTTCCCTTGAAAATACGGCTGATATCTCTGGTTTCTTGGTCTCATACTGGAGAACAGTCTCACTGCCAAGGATGGACCAGAGATGGTAGAAATACTGTCTCCTTATGTTCTTTTACCAAGGACCATTTGGGAGCAAGTTGCCTCTTAATGCTAGAAGGAACTTAATTTTAGCATTTTGGTGCTAAAATTTTGCAACTTCCAGAGGCTGAAATCTCCCTAAAACAGAGATTCCTGTGTGCAGGGAGATAACCAAAAGGAAACTGATCTAGTAACCTTGACTTGGGCTGAACAGAAAGTACAAAAATGAAGTAAGATGTGGAAGTCTTCTAGAAACCCCAGATTCTCAATATGACTTTTCCCCCTTGACATTACATGAATGACCTGACAATTGGAGAAGGTACCTGTAGATACAATGCCACCTGCCTTTTATCCCACCATGACTGTGGATGTAATTTCTAGAAGTCAGTTTTTGAAGTGTGAGAACTCCACATTCATCCCATGGAATCTTCAGCCCTAACCTGAAGGTTGTCTTGAAGAGGTCTTTCCTTAAACTTGGTCTAGGAGTTTCCATGGAGGATCTTAGCCGAGTGCTCCTAGACTTTTATCTCCCTAGTGGTTGGCGGGGTGGGGGGGGGACGCTGGGAGAGAAAATGAGACATGCCTTCAAGAGTCCGCCTGCCATCCTCATTTCTTCTCTAATTTTTACAGGGATTCTCGGGGGCAAGATGCCAGAGCAGCTGTGGACACGTGAAGTGCAGGCGAGGGGAGCAGTGTGTACACACTGCCTCAGGACCCCGCTGCTTCTGCCCTGATCCCCGGGACTGTGAATCTGGCTGTGCCAGTGGCCCCTGCCAACATGGGGGCAGCTGCTACCCTCAGCGCCAGCCTCCTTACTACTCCTGCCAGTGCCCACCACCATTCTGGGGCAGCCGCTGTGAGCTCTACATGGCTCCCACCAGCACCCCTCCAGCCACCTGTCTGAGCCAGTATTGTGCTGACAAAGCCCGGGATGGTGTCTGTGATGAGGCCTGCAACAGCCATGCCTGCCAGTGGGATGGGGGTGACTGCTCCCTCACCATGGAAGACCCCTGGGCCAACTGCTCCTCCCCTCTTCCCTGCTGGGATTATATCAACAACCAGTGCGATGAGCTGTGCAACACAGCTGAGTGCCTATTTGACAACTTTGAATGCCAGGGGAACAGCAAGACATGCAAGTAAGGGATGCAGGTTCTTCAGGAGCTGAGGGTGACTGTCACTAACACACCTTGGTTTCTGGTTCTTGCTCCTAACCACTCCAGTGCTTCACCCCAAACTGCCTCTGCTTTTCAGACGGTACCAGCCTTGTCCCATCGCACGCTATCCTGTGCTCTCCCTTGCTGACAGAGGGCCAGGAATGCTCAGTTGCTCACCCCCTCTCTCTGCCTATCTCTGCCTTCTCACCTGCTGCTCTCATGACCAGGGGGAAATAACTTTTGGAAGTGGCGTTACCCACTTTCAGGCAGCCTCTCACATAACCTGCCTGCAGGATGGATGGAAAGGTCTGTATCTCTCTCTTTACCCCATTCTATCTCCTAAGACTAGTGGTTTTCCCCGTCTAGATTTGTCAAAGAAGGAAGAGCTAGGTTGCAACCTCTTAATTCTGCTGGTCCTTATTGCAATTGTAAGATGCTTTTGGTTTACATGGTAGCTTTCTTATGAATCATTCCATCTGATTTAACCCACTTAATTCTCAACAACCTGATGAGGCATAGGTATTGTTAGTGACCTTTCATAGGTGATAAAATTGAGGCCCAGGAGGTTAAAGAACTTGCCAAAGCACAGATAGCTGCTTCCAACTCTTGTACCACGTGGTGTAAATATCAAGGGCTGAAAGGTGAGGGCAGGAGGAGAGAAGAGTATAGATGAAATAGTTTGTGCTTTCTTTATTAGGGGGTTGTAATTTTGCTCCCTAGTATTTGAAAGAAGCTGTGCAAGTTAGGCCTGGTATCCTGTATGAACATTCTGCAGTTGGGGTTCAGTCCTGAAAGGTAATAAAATAGGCCAAATTGATATGATTCTCTATACAGCAGCTCTTGTTCATTCAGGGCTATTTGTCCAGTTTCTGGAAGTACCTTCTAGAGGCCTCTTTAACTTCCTATAGCCTATTGCCACCTTATTGTTTCAGATATGCAGATTTGTTTAAAAATCTGACTCAAGGTGAACTGCCTGGGGGCCCCTAAGCCACCAACATCATCAGCACAGTGGTATCCCCACTCAGGGAGCACCCGACAGTGATGAGGGCACAGGTGAGGTGTGCTCAGTGATGTCAGGCCGGGAGATTCCCCACTCAGGGAGCACCCGACAGTGATGAGGTCACAGGTGAGGTGTGCTCAGTGATGTCAGGGCCGGGAGATTCAAAGACTGCACAGAGCATATGGGTCCTGACAGGGGCCGTAGAGAATGGGTAGGAAAATGTACAGTAGTTCCGCATGGAAAACCACATAGAGCTCCAGTCTAGTCTGAGTCCCTCTCCCTGTCTCCTTCTGCCTAGGTATGACAAATACTGTGCAGACCACTTCAAAGACAACCACTGTGACCAGGGGTGCAACAGCGAGGAGTGTGGCTGGGACGGGCTGGACTGTGCTGCTGACTGGCCTGAGAACCTGGCAGAGGGGACCCTGGTCATTGTGGTGCTGATGCCCCCTGAGCAACTGCTCCAGGATGCTCGCAGCTTCTTGCGGGCATTGGGCACCCTGCTGCACACAAACCTCCGCATCAAGCGGGACTCCCAGGGGGAGCTCATGGTGTATCCCTATTATGGTGAGAAGTCAGCTGCCATGAAGAAGCACAGGATGACACGCAGGTCCCTTCCTGGGGAGCAAGAACAGGAGGTGGCTGGGTAGGTTTTTGGTTTCTGAACTTCTTAAAGGTTAATTTTCATAAAGCTGAGCACTTTGATACACAGCAGAAGCCGTAACTTGACCCATGAAAGTACAAACCTTAAGCAGACAGAATGGCCCACCACTTACATACATCCATTATCCTAGTACTTAACTTTCAGGTTGAAGACTTGCCTTGATCTTGGGGTCCTGAAAGGTGAGCTGGAGCGTGCTTCTCACAGCTCCAGCCCTACTTTAACAGGGTTGCCTCAGATTCTTGAATTAGTAACTTTCCTTTTGTGTTAGTCATTGTCTTATTATCAAGGCCTTTATTCCTAAGTCTCTCTGACTACACTAATAATCTTAGTTGCTCTGTGATTCACACTCCACTATTTGTTGGTATATCCCCAAACTTTCAGCCCTCTAGCTAACTGAGATACAATTGCAGAGACAAAACAGAATAAGGACCAGAAGTGTGCAGGGATATGTTTTAGGTAGCAGTGGGTACCACTGAGTCAGTAGGAAAAGGCAGAAGAAGACCCCCAAAACCTATAGGAGAGAAGCATTAGGTATTAGCCGGACCAATCTTCTCTCTTGGTCACGTGCCCCCTCCATCAGAAGGCTTAGCTCAGCCAGACAAGGAAGGGGAGATGTCTCCTATGTGGGAATTAGTGTTTAGCACATGAAAGGACAGTATCCTGATTCCTGTGCCCTTCCCGAAGGCAGCGTCCCAAGAGGGGAAGTCTGATGCTTTAAGGGAGGAGGGAAGGCTGTCACCGTTTGACTCACTACTGTGCCTGCACCCTTCTGCATTCCCCATTTTCTTTCCTTCCCTTCCTTTGGCATCCCACAGCTCTAAAGTCTTTCTGGAAATTGACAACCGCCAATGTGTTCAAGACTCAGACCAGTGCTTCAAGAACACAGATGCTGCAGCAGCTCTGCTGGCTTCTCATGCCATCCAGGGGACTCTGTCATACCCTCTTGTGTCTGTCGTCAGTAAGTGGTACTGGTGTGGAGGGGAAGGGTAGGGGAAGGCAGCCCTGGGTGATGCTTTGCAGCATGTAGACCTCTCTTTCTCAGGGCAAGCGCCCTCTAAATGGATTGGATGCTGGTATTGAGAGATGGATGTTTTACTCAGCATACTCCTGGTCTCTCTTGACTTTCAGGTGAATCCTGGACTCCAAAACCCACTCAGCTCCTCTACCTACTTGCCGTTGCTGTTGTCATTATCCTATTTATTATTCTTCTGGGGGTGATCATGGCAAAACGCAAACGTAAGCATGGCTCTCTCTGGCTGCCTGAGGGCTTCACCCTTCGCCGAGATGCGAGCAACCACAAACGTCGTGAGCCAGTGGGACAGGATGCTGTGGGACTGAAGTAAGAGGCGCTCCCAACAAGCCACTGTGCATGGGAATGAAGTAGGGATGCGCAGAACCACATAGCTCATTGAATCATTGTAAATTCTAAGCTCTGGACATTCATGGGATCATGCTGACCAGGGTTCTCAATGCCTCATGAGCGACTATGAAATCTCAGTAGGCACGGTCTGGGTTCACCTGTTCTGCACATGTTGACACAGTGATGCACAGCTTCTTTTCTGAGGCACACTTTAATCATAAGCTTTTGCTCAGTGGGAAGGGAAAGGAGGAATACTCAGAGAATGGCACATAAAATACTGTCTATTCCCTCTGGGCCAAGGCCTCTGAAAGTTGTTATAGCCATGGGAATGTGTCATGGTAGAAAAAGTATTGAGAAAATCATTATATTAGTTTATGACATCACTTTTGCTCTCGTTTTCCCCCTTTGTAATCATATCAGAAATCTCTCAGTGCAAGTTTCAGAGGCTAACCTGATTGGTTCTGGAACAAGTGAACATTGGGTTGATGATGAAGGGCCCCAGCCAAAGAAAGTCAAGGTAAGCTGGTCATGGGGGAACTACCATTGTCTACCATTATCTGGTTGCATTTCAGATCTCTGTTCTTTAGTTCTGGCACATCCTGAATGGGAGGTAAAGGCCTTTATATGTGCTCAGGCGAGCTATTCCAGGTTCTCATGAACAGCAGGAATTGTTAGGCTATTGATGACATTGGGTTACCTATGATTCTCAAGGACTCTTTAAAAATACTAAAACAAGCTCTTCCCCTAGCATCCTGCTGATGGTAGTCCACCAGTGCTATGTGTAAACGGGAATTCCTGAATGTCTAGATTGCTCCCTTATCCTCTATGGGCACTTCTCCTTCTTAAGAGAAGATGAGATTAAATAGTGAGAGAGCCAATGACACTGGAGGCGCCACATCCTGAGCCCTCAGAACTGAAACCATATGGAAATGCGTTGGTAGACTGGGCTGAGGCTCAGGCTGCGGTGAAAAAGGAATCTATCCCATCCAGAGCTGGTAGAGCCCCTGGCAAGGAACATTGCTTTAGTTACAGTCAGAACTGGATTCAGGTTTGAAGCTCTGCTGTTTAGGAGCTGAGATATTATTTCATCATTTTGTATTTATTATCCTAAAATGAGGATGATAATAACTTTCCCCTGTGAGTTGTTATGAGGATGAAATATAGCAGTTGGTGTGATGTGCCTTACCTATTTACTATTACACACTAAGTATTCAGTAAAGGGTAGCTTTAAACTATCACAGTTATTATCACTCAACAGTCTTCTCTGAGTGCTTGCTGTGTGCTGGGCACTGTGTTAAGTGCAGGGTGGCCTCCTTGAAGAAGGCTTAGCCCCTCTTGAGAAGCTTGCAGTCTGGCAGTAGAGACTGCAGTGTAGTGTGACACGGCCAGTTAAGTAGAGGAAAGCAGAATGTGAGTTTTAGGGCCAACAAGGAGTGAAGTCTAGTTTCTATTTGGAGGGTAGGTAGAAGTTATTTTACCTACTAAGAATTGGAGAAGACCATTTCAGGCAAAGGGAACAACATGGACAAAGGCCCAGAAGCAAGGATATGATGCTTTGGGATCTAGAAGTAGCATTTTAAAGCTAAAGTTTAGGATGGGGAAGCAGGCAGCTGAAATGGGTAGTCATCTGTGTTAGAGCATGAAGAGAGAGAAACCCCAGTGGGGGATGGGGAGGGTGGGGAGAGGCTGGACCTCTCTTTGCTAGCAGTTTCTGGAGGTGGGCAGATTGAGAGGGAGCGTGTTTTCTCCTTTCAGGCTGAAGATGAGGCCTTGCTGTCAGAAGAAGATGACCATGTCGATCGACGCCCGTGGACACAGCAGCACCTGGAAGCTGCAGACATCCGAAGGACACCATCATTGGCCCTGACTCCTCCTCAGGCAGAGCAGGACGTGGATGTGCTGGACGTAAACGTCCGGGGCCCTGGTCAGTGCCAGGGAACCTTCCCTTCTTCTGTAGGCTGGGCTTGCCCTTGGTTCTGCATTGCTGGTCTGTTTGCCCCACCCAGCCTTATGTCCCTGCCCAATTTCACAGATTCTAAATCTTGAGGAAATGAATGCTTAAAGAATACAGACAACCTTAAATTGTGAACTCAGAAGAGAGAAGAGGATTTCACATTGCTTTACATACTGTGTGTTGAAACTACATAGGCTGATTAAATGGGTTAGATTTTAGTAGGATAGAAAAATAATATCCCAAAGCAGACGATAGAGAATAGTTTACCTAATCCTTTATGCATATATTAATAGTTCTATTAATATTAGATATTCTTAAATGTCCAATTTAAATGAGCATAACACTTAAACAGAAAAGCTTAGCTTAGGGAAGAGCCCCCAGCTCCAAAGGAGTCTTACTTTCTCTTTATTCTTTATAGAAATGACATTATCAGAGGAAAAGTTGATGGAAAATGTAAAACTAATTGCCAGTTACGACAGGAAATATAGGAATTCTTTGCCCCTAAGAAAAATTTTACTCAAATAGACCTATCCCAGTAGTAAGGTTAGCACCTTCTCCCCTTGAATACCTTTTGAAATTTTCCTTCCCACAGATGGGTGCACACCCTTGATGTTGGCTTCTCTCCGAGGAGGCAGCTCAGATGTGAGTGATGAAGATGAAGACGCCGAGGACTCCTCTGCCAATATCATCACAGACTTGGTCTACCAAGGTGCCAGCCTCCAGGCCCAGACAGACCGGACTGGAGAGATGGCCCTTCACCTGGCAGCACGGTACTCACGGGCTGATGCTGCCAAGCGCCTTCTGGATGCAGGTGCGGATGCCAATGCTCAGGACAACATGGGCCGCTGCCCTCTCCATGCTGCGGTGGCCGCTGACGCCCAGGGTGTCTTCCAGGTACAGAATGTAACAAGAGTTGTTTTAAAAAATAAGAATTCTCTAGGACTTCATAGTGTTTTATCTTTTTGAAGGCACTAATATGTCATAGACTATGTTAAATTATTTGAGAGGTTAGGACAGGTGTTAGGCATGTTTCCTAAATGGAAAAGCAGGAAACTGACGTGGGTATGTACAGTCATTGTGATAGAGCCAATAGCAGGTCACACCAGCTTTCTGATAACTAGTCAATGATACTGTGCTGTGCCAAGTCGCTGCCTGAGGCACAGAGGAGATGAGGATGACACCTGTCCTAAAGCCTCTCACTAGTGTCATGTCACCAGCTCCCTGTAGATTCGCCTGACTGTTTGGATTTGGAGCCGCTCCATAATTATTAATTAATTATTATGTTCACATAATAGTTTCATATCTTTATAGAGTACATGTTATGTTATAGGGTACATGTTATGTTTTGATATAGGCATACAATATGAATTAATCAAATCAGGGTATTTGGGACATCTACCACCTTCGGCATTTATCATTTCTTTGTGTTAAGAACATTCTAATTCCACTCTTCTAGTTATTTTAAAATATGCCCTAACATACCATTGATTATAGTCATTCTGTTGTTCTCTCAAATATTGTTCATTCCAACTAACTTTATCTCCACTTTATTACCCCTCCCAGCTACTCTCCCAACCATCATTCTTCAGTCTGTCTCCATGAGATCGATTGTTTTTCATATCAAGCTCCCATGTATGAGTGACAACACATGAGATTTGCCTTTCTGTCGGCGTAGCTTATTTTACTTATATAATGGTCTCTAGTTCCAGCCTTCTTGTTGTACATAGCAGAATTTCATTTCTTCTTGTGACTATATAACATTCTATTGTTTATATATGCCACAATTTCTGTATCCATTCATCTGATGATGGACACTTGGGTTGATTCCAAATCTTGGCTATTGTAAGTCATGCTTCAGTGAACATGGGAGTGCAGGCATCTTCCATATGCTGAATTCTCCTCCATTAGATATATACCCAGCAGTGGGATTGCTATGGTAGTTTTCTTGACATGAGATGATAGCATATCTTCTGATGCCCTTTTATTTTAATTCATGAGGAAATAGGAATGACACATACTGCACATTGTGACTAAAGTTGTGATATTTTCCCACCTCCTTTTTTCCCTAGAAAATAAAAGGTCCATCACTTTGCATGGCCCATTGTGCCTTGAGCATCCATTTGTTGATTTATTCATTCAACAAATATTTATTGATTGGCCATGATAGAATCAGACTTTCTCTGCCCTCTAGGAACTTTAAGAATATAGTCTTCACTCTGATGCTTTTGTTTTTTCTCTGAGTTTCATTGTTTTTCTTCATCCAAGGGACTCCTTTTTTGTACTTTCTCCTCACCTAGATTCTGATTCGCAACCGAGTAACTGATCTAGATGCCAGAATGAATGATGGCACTACGCCCCTCATCCTGGCTGCCCGCCTGGCTGTGGAAGGAATGGTGGCAGAACTGATCAACTGCCAGGCAGATGTGAATGCAGTAGATGACCATGGTAAGGATGAGAGGCAGGAGTTTGGACTCTTAACTCAAAAAGCATACCTGTGGGGAGGAGAATCATGACATGATCCTTAAAGAACTGTCTTAGACCCAAATCCATTTAGAGATTCACTCATTCTTTCATTTATGCATTCATCCATTCTTCCTTTAACATGTTGACCTCAAGAGAACTGAACTATAGGAGGTCCTAATTAAGATGAGAACAGAAGCCAGGCAGGGAGGTGGGCACTTGTATTCTCAGCTACTTGGGAGGCTGAGGCAGGAGGATCTCTTGAATCCAGCAGTTCTAGTCCAGCCTGAGCAAGTCACGTAGCAAGACTCTGCCTCTTTAAAAAACAAAAGAATTAGTAAAAGATGAGAAAGGATTTTCTGTTTGTTCTTGGACCTGAAAGCAAATCTATGAAAGTTTTGCCTGTGCAGTTTCCTAGGTTTACTGCCCTTGATAAGAGGATTTATAAGAGGTGACTTTACTAAGAGAGTTGTGGGATATCCTGAGTGTACTTTCCAGCATGTAATAAATAGGTTATTGCCTTCAGTACCTAACAGGGTAGATTATACCATGTGGAGGATGTGGATGTGGAAATGAAGTATTTCTAGAACAGAGGAATGAAGGATATTACTTTGGCTTTTCTAGTAGGCTCCCACAGAGAATTGGCTTTCTGCTGGTGTGTGGAGAGCTCAGAGTTTCCTTGTGCAAGGCATACGAAACATGGTGTATACTAAGAGTAGGAAATGTCTGCTAATAGAAATGCTTTTGTTCTGCAGGAAAGTCTGCTCTTCACTGGGCAGCTGCTGTCAATAATGTGGAGGCAACTCTTCTGCTGTTGAAAAATGGGGCCAACAGAGACATGCAGGACAACAAGGTACAGTCTGTGAGCCCCAAGCTGGAGGAGGCTTGTAGTAGTGCCCCTGCTACAAGGCTCTTCCTGGTCCCCTTAGAGCTTCTCTTGTGGCATGTACAGCGGAGATGGAAGCAGGTTGGGCACAAACTGGGAGAGCTTGATGAAAGATGCTGGGCTTGTTCACGGGGGTGTTGGGCTAGCCCTCGGCCCACTCAGTGCTCCCCTTGTACCCACCTGGCCTGGAGATGCATTAATGTCACTTTTCTGCCTTTCTCTGCCCAGTGTTCCCTTTTCTCCAGTTTTCTCTCCTGTTCATGTTACTCCCTTTTCTCTTGTTTGTTTTCTTTCACTTTCTCCCTGTTGTTTGTTTCTTTCCCTCCCTGTCCTCAGATTCCATAATTTTCCTCTTTGTCTTCTCTCTCTAAGTTTGTTGTGCTTCTTTCTCTCATTTACTTCTTCTTTTCCCTAATTTCAATTCCTTCTTGCATAGATTTAGTCTCGGTTTCACTCTTCCTGTTTTTCCCAGTTCTGTACACGATCAGTTTCCTTTCCTCTCCCCTTTCTTACTTCTAACTCCTTTTCCCATTGAAACCTTATTTTGATAAGCTTGATATTTATTCTTCTAAATGAATCTCTGGTTCAGGCCATGCTTTATTGTATGAACCCCTAGCTGAGGTGATGTCTCCAAGGGGCAAACTTAGATTTGGGGGAGGGCTCTTTTTATGTATACATCACAGAAATATACAGAGTACATAGGTAGATATGTAGCCTAATCTGTGGTATTGATACCTCATGGGGGACACAAATAAGAACAAAATGTCTAAGGGAGTCAAAACGAAAAGGTGGTGATATACTGCTGTATTCTTGAGAGTATCATTAAAACGTGTTCTGTGGTGGGCCTTTTCTATAGGAAGAGACACCCCTGTTCCTTGCTGCCCGGGAGGGGAGCTATGAAGCAGCTAAGGTCTTGTTAGACCATTTTGCCAATCGAGACATCACCGATCACATGGACCGCCTTCCCCGGGACGTGGCTCGGGACCGCATGCACCATGACATCGTGCGCCTCCTGGATGAGTACAACGTGACACCGAGCCCTCCAGGCACGGTGCTAACTTCTGCCCTCTCGCCCGTCATCTGTGGGCCCAACAGGTCTTTCCTCAGTCTGAAGCACACCCCAGTGGGCAAGAAGCCTAGACGGCCCAACACCAAGAGCACCATGCCCACTAGCCTCCCTAACCTCGCCAAGGAAGCCAAGGAGGCCAAGGGCAATAGGAGGAAGAAGTCTCTGAGTGAGAAGGTCCAGCTCTCCGAGAGCTCTGTGACGTTATCCCCTGTTGACTCTCTTGAGTCTCCTCATACATACGTTTCTGATGCAACATCTTCTCCAATGATTACATCCCCTGGAATCTTGCAGGCCTCACCCAACCCTATGCTGGCTGCTGCCGCCCCTGCTGCCCCTGTCCACACACAGCATGCACTATCTTTCTCTAACCTTCATGAAATGCAGCCTCTGGCTCATGGGGCTGGCACAGTGCTTCCCTCAGTGAGCCAGTTGCTATCCCACCACCATATTGTTCCCCCAGGCAGTGGAAGTGCTGGGAGCCTGGGTAGGCTTCATCCAGTTGCAGTCCCGGCAGACTGGATGAACCGTGTGGAGGTAAACGAGACCCAGTACAATGAGATGTTTGGGATGGTCCTGGCTTCAGCTGAGGGTGCCCACCCTGGCATGGCTCCCCAGAGCAGGCCGCCTGAAGGGAAGCACATGGCTGCCCCCCGGGAGCCCCTGCCCCCTATTGTGACTTTCCAGCTCATCCCCAAAGGCAGTATCACCCAACCAGCGGGGGCTCCCCAGCCTCAGTCCAACTGCCCTGCAGCTGTTGCGGGCCCCCTGCCCACCATGTACCAGATCCCAGAAATGGCCCGTTTGCCCAGTGTGGCTTTCCCCACTGCCATGATGCCCCAGCAGGACGAGCAGGTAGCTCAGACCATCCTCCCAGCCTATCACCCTTTCCCGGCCTCAGTGGGCAAGTACCCCACACCCCCTTCACAGCACAGTTATGTTTCCTCAAATGCTGCTGAGCGAACGCCCAGTAACAGCGGTCACCTCCAGGGTGAACATCCCTATCTGACCCCATCCCCAGAGTCCCCTGACCAGTGGTCAAGTTCATCTCCCCATTCTGCTTCTGACTGGTCAGATGTGACCACCAGCCCTACTCCTGGGGGTGCTGGAGGAGGTCAGCGAGGCCCTGGGACACACATGTCTGAGCCACCGCACAGTAGCATGCAGGTGTACGCGTGAAGGCGCCTCCAGCACAGGGACACAGCCTGTGGTGAGTGCTGCTGAGGAGCAATGAAGGTCATCCGGGAGAGCAATGAAGAAATCTCTGGAATCAGCTTCTGGAGGCAAGAGAGAGAAGATGTTCATATTTTTCAGATAATTCAAGAGGGGACATGGCTCCTAATCTCTTCCTCATCAAGCTAAGTTCATAGAAGTACAAGATGAAACAAGCTTTGGGTTACGTTTACTTTTTAGTATTTGGAGAACAAGATGGATGCCTGTTGTAGCCCAGATATTCTTGCATCTTGGATTTCATATTAAGCCATGGAGGCTTCTGCCATATTGATGAGAAGATGCTGTACTAGAGTCCTGTTGGGAATTGTGCGCTGGAATTCCCTTAGTTGACTTACCTTCTCATCTTTGGAAATTGCTTCATTTTCATTTGGTGCTTCATTCTCGCACCTCTCTGTGATTGTAGCCCTACCAGCTGTTACAGGGCAAGACCTCTGTGCTTTGAATCATTCCTGCCCTGGAAAGCAACTTAAGCAACTTCAGCCCCCTTTTCTCCTCCTGTTTTCCCAACCTCCCTCGGAGTCTCACAAAGTTTACTTTGGTTATGGTTCTCAGCATAAACCTTTCAAGTATGTTTCTTTGGAAAATGGACATATTGTATTGTGTTCTTCTACGTATATCATTCCTAGAGAGAGATGGGGAGCAAAATATTTTTGTCCAAACCAGTTTGGGGGGCAGAAGAACCCTTCAAGAAGCTGCACCTTAATTTCTGTTGTCTACATGCAGGTCTTCAGATAAACTTTGGCAGGAAGGATGTGAGTCAGTTGTTTTTCCCTTTGTGGGCCTAGAGATTTTGTCCTTGGTAGCCTAGTTACTATGACCCTCTTCTTTTTTAAGCCAGAAAAAAGGGTTGGAATTTTGGAATGACCAAGATACAAGCTAAGTGGCACAGGGAGCAGTCACCCACCACAGGTCCTTCTGCTTACTGCCAAGCACGCCCCTGACTGCTTGTTGAAACATGCTTGTCCCAGATCGTAGAGCCCGAGGCCTGTTTCACTCACTCATCCAGCAGATGAAAGTACTCTTAGCTTTTGAGCTTTTCTTTCCATCTCCACAGAAGACAAAGTCTTAGATGATTCACCTTTGCTGTTTAGGACTGCACTTTCCTTAGCCCAAGAGACCCAGGGACAGTCATCTTCCTTTCATTGGTGATCACAGTCTGTGCGTCTGATTCCCTTTTGGATCACAGGTATGTTCACCAGTCTGCCCTCCACACCGTGTAGTCTGAGTTGCAGGTGCACCCAGTAGGTTCTCGCTGAAGAACCTACTTCAGGTTTTCTTTGTGTAAGTGGAGGAAATGGGAAGCTGTGCTAGTTTCCTAGGTCCAAGACAGCCCTGTAAGGGAGGAAAAGAAAGAACTGTGAAGTAGGCTTTACTGTTTTTTGCTACCATTTTTTCCTCTGAAATTCCCTTTGACAAGTAACTTAAAAACTTAAACAGGAACATTGTCCTTTCCTAGAGTCATCTTCTAAATGACGAATGGGCAGCCACAGCCTTGCTCATCACCGTCATCCTCACGTTCAGACTGGGATTGCACCTCCCTGGAGCCTGTTCTCTGCATTTTGGTCTTGGCAGCTGCTTCTCTGCCTTTCAAGGGCTAAGCATTTTAGTCAACTACAAAAATAGGAGAAAGTTTTCTTTCTGTACTTTCTGGGTCTGTTAGTAATTGGTCCCATGGCTACCTTGTCACTCCTGTCCAGTTCTGTGATGCCCATGACACCAGGAAAGCTGGTTCCTTTGTCTGCTCTTTTCGGTGGATGGCAGTTCTCATTCCAGCAGTGGCCAGGGGTGTACAGCAGTGCTGCCCATGTGTCTGACCAATCTTTTTGAGGTCCCATGTGTGTACCCTGAGTTCTGTTGGCATGGCCTCTACAGGTGGTATTTTCAGTCCCATCTGGTTTCATCAAACCAGCAAAACTAATTAGTTCTGCCACAATATAAGCAGATTACATTTGTTCACTCTGTTTTATTCCCTTATGTGGGAATATTCTACCAGCCTCTTTCACAGTGTGCAAACATTTTATCATTCTGAATGGAGCCTCTCTACCTTTGGACCCATTTATCATTCCAGTTGGGGAGAACTTAATCTGCGCAGACCTCTTTGGACCACAACACATCTGCCCCCTCTGCCTTCCTGCTCCAGCCCCACTTCCTGGAAGTATCAACCTCTGACCAGCTGCCTGGATATTTTATATCTGCCTTCCTCCCCAAGCACAGTATAGGATTAATTTGCTTCTTTTTCTTGGGACACTTTAATTTGGATCCTTTGCGTTTGGGGGAAGGCGATGTGAAAGCTGTCATTACAATGGCAGGCTACAGTGATGAGCAGGACAAGTGCTGCTTTTCAGACATTGACCGATCTCTTAAATTTTAACAACTTGTGGGTTATGTAGTGTCTAATAAAAGGGAAAGTAAGATGGATAATCACTTTCTCATTTGTATTCTAAATTAGAGACTCAGTTTTCGTGGGACATATCTGTTATGCCATGTAAGATCTCCCCCTACTTTTGGTTAATTTTTATTTTTATAAATACTTCCTTTCTCTGACTCCTCTTCTTCCTGCCTTTTGTGATAGGTTTTTTGGTTTGTTTATTTCTTATGTTTTGTTTTCAGTATCATTTTCTGATTTATGTGATGGTAGGGGAGGGAGAGGCTTGAGGAAAAGAAAACTGAGAGCTCCAAGATTTTAGTGTAAGCAGTCAGCTGTAATGCTCAAGTCCATTATATTGTCTATTATTAAATTTGCCAGTTTGTAATTCTTACATAGAAAAGAACCAAAGGTGTAATATTTTGTTGGCAGGTGGTTTGAGGATTTTGGCCTTAACCAATAAATACATTGAATGTATGATGACTATTTGAGAGACACAATTATATGCCCTAAGGCCCCCATTAATGACTGGTACTATGATGACTTCCTTGTGTACATTTCTCTTAAAAGTGGTATTTTATCTGTTTGTATGAGAAACCCAATAACCATTAAAATGACTGCATGTTCCTGACTATACATAGTCAGGAAAATGTACACTTTGCTTTTACTTTTCAAAGTTTCATTCTAAAAGTAGTTAAAATGAAATTTATATGAAAGCATTTTTATCACAAAATAAAAAAGGTTACATGTCAAGCTCAGTGGTGTGGCAATTTTTTTATTTCTCATCCTGCATCCTTGGCCTTGTAGTCATCACCTCATGATGTCATAATTTGCTGAGAGAGAAATAGTTTTTTTTCATTCTTAATTCCACAAGGCCCAGCATTAAGCTTCTTTTTTCTTCCTTTAATTAGACCATAAATAATGCTTTTGAGGAGTAGGCATAAAAGAGGAAGCATCATGAGGCTGGGCACACTTCTGTGCACTCACCATAGCTGGTGACAGACAGGCAGTGGCTCAGGACAAAGCTCCTTCCCGCAGAAATGGAGAGTATTTACTATAGTGAGAATTGAAAATTGTGATATAGGCAGTAATGTTTATTATGCTGGTACCTAAACCATTGGTTGTAATATTCCCCCAATTTTGTATAGAACTTGATATGTAGAATTATAAAATCATTTTGCACATAAATTTGTAACCAAGTTCACATTTACTCATTAAAGTGAATCAGTGAGACGCAAAGATCTGGTGTTGGTGAAAACGTATGGTGGTAGCAGTCTTACGTCAACCTTAGTGTCCTATTTCCATATTGCATTATTTTGCAGAAACTTCTGGATCATACATGCATAATTATAAATGGGAACAGTATTTTTAAAAACAATCTGACTTGAAATCTTAGGATATACTTCCGTTAAGGAGGTAAAGGAGCTTTATACAAGACCTGCACAAATATGTTTTAACACAATTAGTAACATTTCTTTATCACTCCCAGAATTCGTTAATTTTGTATAAAATATATTTGAGTCTCCATGTTGTTTTTATAATGGTGAAAGAAGAAAATGAATTTGAGAGTCTGCAGACCAGGACTCTAAGAGCTAGAAGTGCCTCCTATAGAGCATAGGGAAGTGAAACTTGTTCCATGAAAACCTGCTTCAGTAGATCTGGGCTGCTGGCTGCTGGGTCTCTAACCACATCCTACCCCTGCAATCATCACCCTTAAAATCTAGTCCTTGATTGCACAGGAAGGATTCAGGGCTCTCCCGCTCATGAAAGCCAAGGAGGGACCAGGGCTGAGGCCATGCACTGCCCCGCCACACAGGCAGAGCATGGTGTGACTACTGGATAGTGAGCATGCAGGAGAGCAGTGGAAGCATGCAGCTAAGGAGCCTCGCAGCCCAAGGTGAGGGGCCGGTTCCTGTGTCAGAACAACCTTTCTACTGTCCACATACTGGACAAGGTATAGGCAAAATGGTTTTAGGTATGTACGAATGGGAGAGCTACCTGGAGACCATGTGATGGCATTGGTCCAGAGAGGGAGCTCACACTGCAAGCCTGTTACTGCTTCTGCCACTAAATTTTCCGACCATGGTATGTATGTCAGTGTGCACGTGCATGTGTGTTGGTGTGGGTGTGTGAATGTGTGTGGAACAGAATTCAACTCTTCCTTCTTTTGACTTAGAGCTCAGCAAAATACATTTAAAACTTGTACACCAGTGAAGTCCCAACTTCAAAGTGTGAACACACTCAAATTGGGATAAATCAGAGAGTGCTATTTATAAAAAAGATTAATTACAAAGGGATAGGTGAGGTGTAGGGGATCTGCACAGGGTAGTGCATAAACCTACCATATTGGCAAGGTCAGAGCAACTTTCACTTGTGGGTCTGAAGGGGCAAATGGCTGGGAGAAGTTCCTGGAACCTAGAAGGAAGGAGTCCTGTAGAGCAAGCTTCCTCAAGAAGATTTGACTTCTATCAAAGCACACAGTGAGCCTCAGGCCTTCTCAGAAAAGGAAGCCAAGGAATGAATGCCTGATCTCATTCTTCACCCACCTTGGGCTTTCTATTTGCTGAACGCAAGTGGAAGCCTAAAAACATGGGCGTTGTTGATTCGGTCCATCCATAGAGATCAACCTTCTGAGATGAGCACATAGTAGGGGAGAGAAGAGATTCTGTCTGCAAGTGCAAATATACTTAATCTAGGACAAGATTCTCTCTCCAGCTAGATACTTATTAGAAATGTCCACAGAACCTATCGTTGGTGTGCAAAGGCCCAGAACACAGAGTAAAAAGAATTACATATTGATAATACTCGACTGTTTTTTCAGATACACTGGTACATTCCTCACCACTTATGCTATGAGTATGCAAACTGGAGAAAATGGTCAGCAGTTGGAAGAATGTTCATACACATAATGTGAAGGAAAATAAGTCAGACACCAAAGAGCACATTCTGTATGATTCCATTATATAAGTTCATAAAAAACCAGTAGGTGATAGAGATCCTAACAGGGGATGCCTTTTTGGGAGAAAGGTCTTAACTGAGATGAGGACAGGAAGAATCCTTCTGGGGGTTGAAAGTTTCTTGAACCGAGTGGTGGTTACAAGGATGTATACATATGTAATGTTTAAGATTTATACATTTGACTTACGTAAATTGTGTTTCAATAAAATCTATAATATGTAATAAGGTACACAAATGTAAAAATACCTAATATTGGGATTTATAAAAGATTAAAATTTTATATTTATTTTAGTTGTATTTCCCTCTCTAATTCCATCTCCTCCTTTTGCTACTTGCTTGCTATTGTTAATTTGGTTTGTGGGGATTATTTTCTTTTGAAAACATTGTTATTTACAACCGTTGATCCATGAAAAAAGTATTTTCAAATTCAATTGTATAAAACATGAGACTCCAAGACTGTGAAGTTAATTAAGTGATGACATCAGCCAGTGTAGTTAACTGGCTGGGCAGGAAGGAGCTCTGGGCTCCAGCTGACTAATTCATTCCCAGCTGGGCCCCACATACTATTTGGCACTACCTAGTATGCTTCACCGTAAATACGTTTGGGGCTAACTCTGGGTTTTGTAACCTGGCTGAAAATTTTAAGAGCTTCATTATAAATCATCACCTGCCTACTTCGGGTACCAATTTTAGAGAATTTAGGTCAGGCAAATACTGAGATGTAGGGACCCAGCCCTTGCCGTCTGTCATGGAGTCATCTCATGTCTCTACCTCTACCCTTTTCTCACCTTGTGACCCTTTGCCCTTGCCTCCTGAGGAAGATTTAGGAATGCTGAGTTGGCAGAGGATGGGCATGAACCACTATTCATGTAACATCTGAATATGTGTTATTGTGTGGTTATTGTAGGATTTTAGGTATGTACAAATGGAAGAGGAGATTAATAGGACCAGAACAATCCAAGAAAACTGACTGAAAAACTGCCATAAACCATTAAGGATTCAGTAAATTAAGTCATGGGCAATTAATTCACAGAAACAACCTTTATTATAAACAAAAAGCAGCTGGAGGATGTAATTGAAAAGAACATATTCACAATAGCAGACACACATCATAAACATACCTCCCCTCCAATAATGTTTTAAAAAATTGCAAACCTAGAGAAAAGACATCAAGATGGCTGACTAGAGGCATCTGGTACTTGTCTCCATCATAAAAGATACCCAAAATAGTAAGCACACAATCATACGTCAAATGGATCATCTAAGAACATAGGAATTCAACAGGTAAGTGACAGGAAACATCTAAGGCAAGGAAGGGGAGGGAAGCCAGGCAGTTTGCTGGGCTGGGGTCAGCTGTGGAGCCCAGAGAGACTCCACAATGTGTGGAAAGGGTAAGTGAGAGACCACTCAGTGGTCTACATTCCCATCCCAGACTCCTACAATTGTAACCTTAGGAGAGCCTTTGACCCTTGCAGGCCCATAGAGAGCTACCTGGAGACCATGTGATGACATTGGTCCAGAGAGGGAGATCACACTGGGTCCCACACACCCCTGAGTCCTAAGCAGGTACAGCAAGGTATCATTTCAAAAGCCTAGCCCCCACCAGGCTTCATCCTGCCCTGGGGCCCAATAGCTTCTATATCTCAACATCCTTGAGGCCCCATTGACATCCCACCTCCCCCTCATAGAGTGCTGTTGCATATTTACAAGCACCCTGAGGACAAGCTATATACCCCATAGCTGCCCCAACCCCGCTACCTGGGGCCAACGCATGTTCTTTACAGCCACCTCCCTACCATTGCTGTCACTGAAAGCAATACTGCCCTCTCCAGCAAAGGGTCACAGTGCACCCAGACATTCTGCCAGCAATATGGAGATAAACCTACCTCTGCCTACCATAGCCAGTGACCACATGCACCATTGGGGGGCCTGAGGATAGGCCTGCCCTCTCAATGCCCAAACACACTGACTGAGGACCTGGGAACCACTCTTGCCTCATCCACAACATTTGGCACCTGAATACTTCTACGGGCCTGAAGTTGGACCCAACCAACCTTTCACTACCACCCACAGATGGCACCCTCCTGAACATACCACTTATGGATCTGGGAATTGACCCAAACACCAGTACAGACTGCTTAGGAGCCAAAGGGTCGTACCATCACTGCTACTACCATTGTCCATACAATGCCGATGGCTCAGGGTCTCAAGAACTCACCCACCTATTCCACTCTTGTTACGACT